CAGACTCTGCTTTGATTATTATATTATTATTATATTTTATTATATTACATTATATTATATTATTATATTGGCCAAAACTAATGCAAAATTTCCAAACCTTTCCCACACCTACGGAAGCCCTGAACCACAAAAAAAAAAAAAAAAAAATCTAGTATTTCAACTTTAATCTCGAAACGTTTCGACTTTAATCTCGAAATGCTAGATATTTTTTTTTACATTTTTTTTTTTATTTTTAGATTAAAGTCGAAACGTTTCGACTTTAATCTCGAAATGCTTTTTTTACGTTGCGGTTCAGGGCTTCCGTACCAAACAGCTTCCCTAGACATATTCTAATCTTCAAAACTAAATCACCCACTTTCCCCTTTACTGATTTCACTACCCACAAAACCCTGTTCTTAGCCAGACTCATTTCTCATCATCACATCAATAGCCAAGCTTCGAAGGTGGCGTCTGTTTACCTGAAGCACCTGCCAGGAGAGATAAGGTGAAATTTACTGTAACTCATCCTGCTCTTCGTGCGGTTCTTCTCTCTTCCTTCAACACACTGATGAAACTCATGCCTGTGGCACTGTCACCTAGGGGGGATACACACTTCACTGCAGTGCTTTATGTGTGGGATTTCATAGCATTATGTCAACTGTTAACAATGACAACAAAGCCTGGGTTTGAATCAGCAGAGTAAGGAATCCAAATAGGTGCAATGAAATACCCTAGTCTACAGACAGAAAGGATGAAATCCTACTACTCTTGTAGTATTGTAGGAGTCAATACTACAAGAGCAGCTCTGAGCCCTTTCCGTGCATTGCTGCAGAACGCTCACAGCGCGACTCCTACGGCACCGTCATTAGTCTATCTGAGAACACGCCGCCAGGGCAATTTCTCTCCGCTCAGAACCCAATTAAAGCTCTCTGTATGTTTCTCACTCCCAGAGGCCTGTTTGGCAGATGGTACAACCCATCAATGGGCACAGCTGCAGCCCAGACCCTAACAAGCCTGGCATTAGTGCGGGTATTACTGAGATCAGGGTGCTATAGACCTCATCTCCACCTCATTCTGGCCTGTCAGCCATGATTAGCATTTGAGCGTAGATGTGTAACTAAGGTCTATCTATGTGCTCGTAAACACATTCAGATGTGTTTGAATGGACACATAAATGGATAAGGGTTTCGTGTGCCAGAGTCTCACTGCAGATTCAGGCCTTGGCAACTTGTCCGGAGGATTAGAAGCTCCACGCCGCACGATTCCCGCATGATCCGTCCACACACGCTCGTCCTTTCACCTCAGACCTTTGATCGGCTCTTCTTTGTTAATAAAGTCAGTCATGTTGCTCATAAAGCGAGAACACACAAAAAATCTGAATCCGGTTATTACAGCTCTCTGGAATACTCGATTCTGATTGGTCAGTCGTCACATTGTATGATAACACTAAATTCTAAAATGGAATAAAACGTACTAATTTTATTATACATCATTATATATATAAAAAATATTAAAAATGTAATTCTAAAATGCAGTGTTGCCCTTGTCTGTTCAACATATATATGAAGAGTTCAGATGCAAAAGCCTCTAAATGCCATTTGAAATTTTCTTCTAAAATGATCATTTTTATCAAACTTGTATATTTAAGTTCAGTAATTTCACTTAAATGGCAAGGATAATTACCTATTAATTGTTATTTAAGTGAAATTACTGAACTTAAATATACAAGTTTGATAAAGAAAATTTCAAATGGCATTTAGAGGCTTTTGCATCTGAACTCTTCATATATATACACGTATATATATATATAGTATAATAATGTGAAATAAATCCAATTATAAATAAATAATAAATGTTTTAAATTAAAATGTAAAATAATCGAGTGTTAGTGAACACACGAAAAATCTGAATCCGTTTATTAAACAGCTCTCTGGAATACTCGATTCTGATTGGTCAGTCATCACATTGTATGATAACACTAAATTCTAAAATGGAATAAAACGTAATAGATTATTTTATTATACATCATTATATATAAAAAAAATATGTAATTCTAAAATGGAGTGTTGCCCTTGTCTGTTCAATATATATAGTATAATAATTTGAAATAAATTCAATTATAAATAAATAATAAATGTTTTAAATTAAAATGTAAACTAATTTTAAACTAAATTTATTCTATGTGTATATTTATATATAAGCATCATTATCCCATTGACAAATTCTTTCAGCCCTCCTCATCCTCCTCCCTCTCCCTTCCTCTATTTCTCCTCTTTCTGTTATAGTTTATTTTACTTACTTTTTTTTTTAACTGTTAAATGCAGCCGAGCCTCGGGTTCAGCAAGCCCAGTTAGTTTACCATTAACCTTGAAGGCTGAATGGGCAGGTGAACTGGTATTAATCAAATATGGTAAATCTAGATATAGAGACTTTCCCAGTGAAATTTTGAATTTGGTCTAATTGTAAAAGTCAGCTGTTTTTGGGGTGGGCTGGTTCAGGAACTGCTACGTGGAGAGGGGCTTTAGCAACAATATCCATCGCCCATTCCCTCCAGCCATCTGTGCCTGCATCTGAGCCCGGGCTCACAGGCTTCACACTTACCGAGTGTGAAATTAGCATGTGTGTGTATGTGGAAAAACACTGAGGGTGGGGGGAGTTTGATTAAATCGGTGTGGTACGTGTGCGTTCCCGGTGGTGTCGTGACTGTGTGAGTGTGTGTTGCGTCCCTGTGGAAGGCACAGGTGTTCGGGTCGACTCTCAGTGGCCTGGAAAGCGTTCGAAGGGAATCCGATCTGTGATGGTCCTCCCCTGAATTATGCTAATTAACCTTCGCCCCCGGAACATCACTCTGCAGTATCAGGGTGAGTTGTTCACGTCAACAAATGGCCGTAATTGAGCATTGAACTTCGCTCAGCAGTTTGTGCAACCTGACCCTTTAACTGTGACCTCTGGTTTTGTGACCACGCTGACATCTGCCTTCAGTTGGGAATTAATCACGGGTTACGTTCGGAACGGAATGCTAGCGCACTGCTTACTGGGGAAAATACACTGAATACTACATTGTTTTTGTTGTTTTTTAAGAATGAAAAAACGCTAATAGATACAGAACTATTATAGAACTACATTTTACTGTCCTAAACTAAAGCAGCTGAACAATAAAGAAATATTGCATATCAAAATCATATGGGAATATCAAACTCCAGATATAGCATGCTATTTTTATTCATTTCTTAGCACCATCTTAGCACCATCCCTTGAGAATGATAACGTGTCATTTTAATCTAATTTCAGTCACATTTTAAGGGTGTGTGTTATAAGTGATGTTAGGATTCATCCTTTTCCTTAAAGCCTTTACCTATTTTTTTTATCTCTCCTTTTTCATATTTAAAATGGGTGGGAAAATGGGAATTTGTTTAAAAAATATACTTAAAATTTACTTTAAAAATACTTAGAATTTATATAAACAAATACCTGTAAAAATACATTCTTGTAATATGCTTAATTCATCTTGAAAATGTTGTACGCCACTTGATTTAAATATAGACATAAATGGAATATCTCCTCAAAAATAATGATGACCTTTAAAATGAAAGTTTGACCAACATAAGAATTTACAGCGGAAATGTCATACGCTTTTGTTCTGGGGGGAAAGCATTCGACATGATAAGCTTCGTTAGATTTAATCAACGCGATTTACAGCAAACTTTATAATTTGAAGAATGTTATAAAAAATCTTAATTTGTGGTTAAGTAAAAAACAAAAAAAGGCCTAACATCCCATGGTCTCGTAAGCAAGACTCCAACTCAGCTAACAGCTCATCCGTCAGCATCTCCAGCTGATTTCTATTAGGAGTAACCATTAGCCCTCTCAGTTCAGCCTTTTACTGCAGGAGTAAGTGAGTGCCAGTGAGATGTCATGTCAAAACCAATCTCACAACAGTCTCCAGAAATGCTTTGTTGTTAGTTTGTGTTAGCATTGTCCTCTAGAATACAAAAGATAAGCGACAGCCTCTTGAAAAGAGATTGCAATTATATCCACAATTTCAGGACACACTTAGTTAAACACTAAGGTCAATTCACTCTGCCGTTTACAGGATTCATAAAACCCAAATGCAGCACAAAGGGGTTTTTTAGCGTTATTTTACACCGAAACACAGTGTGTGCAAGGTATTTGCACATGACTTTGCATACATTTTGATCTATGAAACAAAATTGTGTAACAACTAGTCTAAACTTTATTAGTCTATCCCTGCTAAAAAAACCCAGCATTGTTGGTCACCAGCATAAGGTATGCTTTGCAAGCTAGGACCAGTATAGGAACCAGGATAATGCTTTGCATTCTGGGACCAGTATGGGACACTGGTTACTGGTTTGTTGGTCCCCAGCATGTGAAACAGGAGTGCTGATGGTCTTGCTTGAGAGCATGGCTATGGTCCACCAGCTAACATGGAATTCATGCTGGTTTTTACTGGATTATTCAGCAGGGTGTGCAAACTAGTGGTAGGAAAACTGGTTCATTTCACCAATCAGTTCATTTGAAATGAACAGTATAACAAATCTTAAAGTCATGTTGAAATCGAAATCGACAATTCATGGGGAATTGATTGGATGGTCTGCTATTGGTCGATCTCATGTGAGTGACAGGTTGGTCCCGCCCTCACACCAGTAAACACATCATCAGACAAGATAAGAGACGCCATTGCAAGAGGGGGGGGAAGTTATTTTGATTAAATATTATATTTGGTCTACTGAATTTAAAAAAAAATGTATGCACAGATAAATCATTATTATAAATATTCCAAATATTCCAAAAGAAAATTGTGATTTGTGGCAATATCAACAAAATATATGTAACACACATCCCTGATAAATGTTATCAAGCTAAAATATTATGATTATATTGTATTATATATTATGTTTAAAACACACATTGTATGGGAAAATAATTGGTATTGATAATTGAGGTTGATAATTGGCAGAAAATTTTCCATTCAGTTTTAAAGACATTTCTTTCAACCCTAAAAAACACTGCAATGGATAATTCAAAATACAAAAAATGTCTTCATATTTAAAAAGTACATATTTCTACAGGCGTTTCTTAGAGTGTAAAATTAAATACAATTGTCCATGTCACTCACCTAAATTGCTTACAGGTATTTGGTACTCTAGATCCATGTTTTCACACATATTCGCCTCTGATAATTATGTCCAGTCTTCAGCCACACGTCAAACATCTGTGTTTCCCGTTCTAATTGGCTCTTGTGGCCTCAGGTTTGTACTCTTGTCCAGGTGTCATAGTGTAGCAGTGAAGATGGGCAGAACTTGAGGCTAATTGGTGTTAATTCTCCATCTGTTGAATAACGAAGCAGAAGCTCTCTGGCCTGAGGCAACATCAACATCATGGTTCAAGAGGTCAGGAAAAATGAATAATAATAATAATAAAAACACACAAACATATATACACAGTATATATATTATGTGTGTAACATCTAAATTAACTAACTTTGTTCGAGTCAAAACTAACATTACTTAATCAGCTTAAAGAGATAGTTCACCCAAAAACAAAAATTAAGTCATTAAATACTCACCCCCATGTTGTTCCAACCCTGTAAGACCACAAATGAAGATATTTTTGATTAAATTTGAGAGGTGGATCACTGCTACATAGGCTGCCTAAGGGATCAAAACTTGATGGCTCAGAAAGTCATTGAAGAAAATGTTTAAATATTCCATGTGACTACAGTGGTTCAAGTATAAGTTTATCAAGCGACGAGAAAAAAAATTGTGCGAAAAAACAAACAAAAATAACGACTTTATTCGACTATTCCTTATCTTCCTTGTAGGCCTGAAACGAGACTTCAAGACGCATACGCGAGAATTACGTCGTCCTTCAACTACTTCAGTTTAGTTCTCGCGCATGCGTCGTGGAAATTTCTTGAACTCTCGTCTCAGGCCCAGAAGGAAGAAAAGGAATTAGCGATTGGACTGTTGCTATTGTAGCTTAGGGATTGTCATTGTTTATTTCTTGTTATGGCATGGTCATTAGTCAATGTAGATAGTGCTAACCAGCTTGGATGGACTGCATAATCACTGTCAGAGTAGAATATGAGAAGACAAAACTTTGTTGGCTTAAATTAAGACAATCTAAATGGATGTTTAATCAAGAACAAAGCCGTGCTAAAGCAGATTTATTGCAAAACACCAAGGTACTAGCCGAGTAGATGAACCAGCGTTAGCCACGGTGCTAACTTACATGAACTCACCAAGTCACTTGCCCTATTCGTCACTGGTTTTCTTGACACCACAACTCTAACGTTACTTCTCTCCTCTGCCCATTGTTCCTCCCCCGAATCCCGATTTCCCCCTGGCTTCTATCTCGCCTCGGAGGCACATAATTATTTGCCTGTGGGCCATCATTAGCATATTCGTCAACATCGCAGAACGCGGTTTCGTCGTTCGCATCCATTGTAACCTGAGCCTGAACTTGAACAGACTCGCTCGCCGATCATCACTTCCGGTTAGTGCTTCATAGACGCGGGATTTATTTTATCACAATTTTCCTCACAATATCGTTAATGGCTAAATGTACTCCAGTTCAGAAAATCTAGTTCTTTTATCATCAACATACACTAGGGGTGTCCAACCTGCATGTTGATCTTCAACTGTAACAAAAATGATCTCACATTGTAAAATACAAAATATGCTTATATTCAATAAGCAAAATATCATTTCTTGTTTGTTTTCTTCAGATTTCAGGTTGAAATATGACCTGTAGATGTTCTCGACAGGTTTTGTGATATTCAAAACAGAACAAAGAACGCAATGACACAGCAACATAGCATGAGACAGGACATGAAATATTCAGCACAATATTCAGCATGACAGTAAACATGAGATTCAACCTGATATGTATACGCCGTTACACAAAGTACACACATCACAATATGACAGTAAATAAAGTGTGCGAAGGACTTTTTTCTTTTACAGGTCCATAAGGTCCACGACTGTCAGTTGAACAGTTCTGAGCGCACACAGTGACCATTAGTCTGAGGTAGCGTGAGTAAACATGACAGCTGCGAGACCGTCCCTGAGAACACAAACATGACAGCTGTCACACAGTGCTGGAGGATGAGATGGTCAAATGTACAGTAGGTGTAATAAAGTGATTAGTGTGATGGCCACTGTTTGTAATGATAAAACTACAGGTCGAATCCAGGTTCAGATGGCGACTGATCTCGGGGAGAGGTCTTAGATGTGTTGAGGTTCTCAAGAAGTTTTCAGCTAGTTTTAGACGAAAGGTCTGAGACTTAGTCTCATTAGTCATTATGAATGAATCTCACAAAAACTCAAGAACATTTCTGAGATGTAATTCACCACTAAATCAAAAGAAAGAAAATAAATCTTATCAGAAACATTAAGAATTCACACCATATGACGTTATTTTGATAACAATTGAAAACATTTCCTCAAATTTATTACAGTAACTTTTGTTTTACTTTTGAGTTTTCTTTGTTATTCTTATAATCCTCAATGATCATTCATGTCAGATTGATTTTAATGTTTATTTTTATTAATAATAGTCTAAATACCTAACAGTTCAGATGATATTTAATGATTTAGAATAATAATATAATAATGTTTATTATATTACTGATTTATATTATTATTATGATTAAATATTAACGGGTCCGATAATATATTATTTTTATTTAGCATAAATGATAAGGAGTTTTGTTTAATCTATTATTCATTGATTTGAATGGGAATGGGATTTATTGATTTAAGTAACGTGAATTTTTTATTTCTACTTTTTACAATTTTTTGTACTAATCAGTAGAATTGATTGGTAATAGTAATTAGTCAAATATATAAATAATAATTTTAATGATTAGAAAGCTTAGCTTAACAACCACAATAAATGTTATTATATTGTATAAACCAAAATTTTGACATTATGGATTTCTGCTGTAGAATTATGTAAAACATTTTTTTTACATAATTAGTACAAATAATGGACAATTTCAAGTTAGTTTAATTTTTGCATTATACAGTAATGAATTATATATTTTTTGCACAATATTTAGGAACTACAACCTTGCAGTGTTATTTTAATATTATTTATAGATTTTATTAATATTTTTAATTCATTTTATTATTATATTATTAGTTTTCTTTTTACGTGCAAGTTTCAGTAACTTTATGGTCTGTTGAAATTTTTAAATTACAGTTCTAAATAGTTCTAATTTATTTGTATTTTATTAAGCCATTTTAATAAAAAAAATTTATTAACTTTCATTTTAAAGCTAATTTTTATTATTTTTCTGAACAAACTCACACATGAGCAAGACTTAGTGTCAACCTCCGTGTGAGCGACCTCTGACATATATAGCATTTGTAGGTTGCTTTGGATAAAAGCATCAGTTAAATGAATAAATGTAAAGGTTGTTTAAGTTTTTCATCTAATACTTATATTTTAGTGCATTTTAGCTTTATTTCAGTTAACAAAAAGTTTTTTTAAAGTGAATGGTAATACTGCAAGCTTGCAGTTCAGAGCAGGTTCAGAGGAGCCGGTCTCGAGTGTCCTGCACTGCAGTATCACCTGTCCTCATAACAGCTGTCAGATTAGCAGGTAAAGCACTAAAGTCAACACAGAATCCTACACCGTCACTGGAAGGGTCAAGGGTCATATCGCTGCTATTATTAGAGCCATTATTCATATTCTGCTTGTTGTTTTATCCATTTGAATACTGAAAATACAAGTTTTTGCCTTTGGACAATTGTACAGTAAGTCAGATCAATAAGGGTTCCACGTTGAGTCTCATTCAGTGAAGTTCAATCATTTTTATAAAAAAATCATTTTTAATTATTTTTTTATGTGCTTCATATGGTAAATTACTAAAAAATATATAATGACAAAGTAATAAATAATATGAAATAATATAATATTTAATATGATTGACTAACTATATAATTACAGTTACACAATAAAAGTCACTTTAAGGGTCAAATCATTTATTAGATAAAAAAATGTGATATTGATATTATTATAGAAAGAATAATATAAAATAATACATTAAATAGAACAGAATCTGACAACATCAATGAATTTTATTTTTATAAAATATTAAAAAAATGTAATATAGATTATAAACAAACAAATTAAATGTAATATGATAAATAAATAATATAATATACATTTTTATTTTGACTGAACATGTTTCGGTCACACCAGTAAAAGTCACTTTAAGGGTCATATAATTTTATTTATATATACATTATTTTAGGTAATAAGTAAATGATATTATAAATAGTTAATATGACTGACTGACTATACTAATATAAGTAACTTAAAGACTCAATTCATATTATTTACAAAATGAACAATTTATTACATTATTTTTATTCTAGAAATACATTAATATAATATATAAATAATATAAAATAATAAATATTTAACATGACTGAATCATAGTCATATTTATTATTGTAAATTGAAAATCTAGATATTAAGTTAAGAAAATTAAGACTTTAAGCCACTTTACGTGTCAAATCGAATTCATTTAATTATTTTATTTTAGAAAATAAATAAATAGTATAAAATATTTTATCAATAATATTTAATAGTCACTTTAGTGGTCAAATTAGGTGCAAATTAGCTTATCCTTAAGCTAACAACTGCACTTTAAAATAACTTTAAGATGCTTTTAAGACTCCGAACTTTCAGAGGATGGAAGCGTCATTATAATATGTACACTAAACTCCAGTTTCTTTTCAGAGAAAGGACCTAAAATACAAAGCCTTTGGTGGGATGATATTATACCTTCACACCAAGTGCAGACAAAAAAAAAAACACACACACAACTTTGTTGTCTTTCAATGAAGCCGAGTCTTCTCAAAGCCCTCTTCTCTCACTGAAACTGAAGCACTGGTTGACCACACCATTGTTCTCACTAACACCAGATACATATAGAAAACACAAGCAGGGCCTAAAGCAGGCTTGCGTTTAAGTGCTGACATATGACACACAAACAGACAAGGCTCTAATGCTGTTATTAGCGCAATCATTAATCCTCTGCTTAATTATCTTGCCCGGACACACTCTTCACGGGGCTGTGCACAGGAGCTGGTCCCCGAACCACCTGCTGGCTTTCTGCCCCGTGCTGAGAGTGCCAATTGGCAGCGCTGGGCATGTAAAGCAGACAGATGGAGGCCGAGCGCAGGTCAGGCACTCCAGCAGCGGGGGAACGCAAGCGGCGGATCGACTGAGTCGCTCTCGCTGACTCCATCGGCTCAGAGGAACCAGATACATGTACAGATATAGAGTTTAACATTGTTTCAAAAAGATGCAAAATAGGGCTTGGAACTCTTACAAAATAGCCATTAAAACAGTATCATCACAAACTCAGGAAACTAAATATATAGTGTTGTTGTTTTTCTCATTTTTATTTTATAAGGGATGTCAATTTTGCAATCTTTTTTATACGAATTTGGGTCTTAGTTTTCTCTCGTCTCAGGGGAAAATGAGAGAGTGTTGCACGACCATTCAATAGTATGACAATGGAAAGCTTAATGCAAATAGGTGGAGTGTCATTTTACGTCATTGTAGGAGGAAGTGTAAGAGGGGGGGATTTCTGTAAACACTACAAGCACTAGTTCCCACCCTTTCAAACCTGCCCATAGGGGGTTGGGCCTAATGTGCTAACAGACCAATCACAGATCAGTGCCAGTGCGTTTGATTTCACCGGCAGAAACTTTTTGAAAATAAGGATGAAGGTACTGAATATACGCAGACGAATGCATTACTCTTAGAAGAAATGGTTCTATTTAGAACCAGAAATGGTTCCATCCCCCGCTTCATATATGGAACTCCAAAATGCCATTTTTTTGGTAAAAGGTTCTATTGGCCAAGTATGGAACCCCAGGGTTCTATATAGAACCCAGAGGAACCCTTGCTTTTTTTTAAGAGTGTATAGAACCTTTTAGGGGTTCCAAATACGTAGCGCTGATAGAACCTTTTAAGGTTCTATATAGAACCTTTTCTTCTAAGAGTGTGGAGGATTGGGATTACACATATTGTCAGACATCTTTTTTTTTTTGGAAGCTAAGCTAGCAGGCTCTTGCTCTGCGGAGAAAGAAAACTGAGAAGTAACTCCTCCTCTTTTTCCCGGACATGTCCGGCCGTCGATGTCCGGGATTCAGCTTTTGCTTTCTGCAGTCGCCATTCATTGTTTACATGTAAGTTACAGTTTTGTTTCAATCTAACTGAATTCATTGCGATTGGTGAATCTGAATGTAGTGTTTACATGAACGCTAAAAAAGTGATCGGTTGATGTGTGTTTTAACATTTCTAATTCTGTAAACATAATAAATGGCGACTGTAGAACGCTAAATTTTGGGTGATCTCGAAACACTTTTTCAGCCACGGAGACTCACTAGCCTAGCCTAGCCTAGACCTGCACTATTACTGGTAGGTGTGGCCTCCACGGGCAGCGAAGCAAGTGCATTCTGGGAGTTGTTGTCTTTCATTCACATAAGCCAAAAATACATTTTACATAGTAATAACAATAACATACTTATAGTTTAATATGGAAAAAAAAACAACAACAACGGTGGAGTATCCCTTTAACTTGCTGTTTTTTCATACCTCATATTTATTTTATGTTAGACAATTACTCATGAGAACATGACATTTGTGCATTATTTATTTATTTATGTCATTGGATGCCAATTTATAGCCCACCCTATTCATGGAAAGTGCCTTTTATAGATTTCCTGGATTTTCCTAGAACTGCAAGAATAAAAAGCTAAAGGCAGAAAAGGAAAGGAAATGATTGTGTTAGAGTAATTAGCACAAACGTTCTGGCTAAGTTACACTGTTCCTTTCAAAAGACAACACTGACCCTCAGGCAAAACACACACAAACACAACAGCAAATCAGCTGCACATAATGGAGCTTAAACACACGAACCAGCCAAACCTGTAAATCCACCACACTGACCAAATTGAATAACCATTTTTATCCAGCATATATTTCTATTAAATGTGCTTTCTGTTGTTAGCGCGGATGGTGTGATGTAGATGATGCGCATATACACCTTATTAGTTTATACTGCAGAAGAGCACAATAAACCAGACCGCTGTCACAGCCCATTAAACCAGCCATTTATCAGAGAAACTAATGAACAGCGATATAAACAATCTGCTTGCTCCTGCCATCTCCTGGAAAACATATGAACTACATTTTGATATAATAATAATATTTTATAAAATTAATTTAAACATTATTTTAAATTCAATTAAATAGTACATAGGCCTATAGTAGTTAAAATACATTTTGTCATTATTATTATTAGTAGTAGTACTATATAAAATAATATACATGTAATATAATAATTATTGAATGAAATATATATAATAAATAACATTAATTAAATACTGTATAATAATAATATATATTATAAATAATATTAATTAAAAACCATTTTCATTGTTATTATTAGTAGAAATAGTACAATATAAAATAAAAGATAATATAATAACAATATAATAACTGTATAAAATATAACAGTTTTATACACAAACACACACACACATATAGCCTCTCTCTCTCTCTCCCTATATATATATATATCAGCCATGGCAAAACTGTCACCTCAGAGGTCCTTAAAACACTCCATTATAAAGACAGCAAATCACTTATTCATTGACGACTTGACATGCAATCAATAACAATGCACAATCAAAAGTTTTAATAAAACGACTTGTTTGGATTATTTTAAAAGCTATTCACTAGACTAAATGATATACTTGTTTAGGGCAGTGCACAAACAAAGTTACATGTATTAAAGAATATAATTTAGTGAGTGTGCCATCTATTCAGTTGGGCTCTGGATGACAATCATCAGGAATTCTTTATCTGGAAGAGAATAGGGAAAAGGTGAGAGCTGCGGTATATGAGTGCTTTAACAGCCTGATAAGTAAGAAGGGCTGATAATGCGCTGACCCACCTGGCGCCACCATGATCTCGTGTTTCTTGGACCTGATGCGCAGAAACGTCAGGTCGTTCTGGGGGTCGATGTCTCTGATCGTACTCCTGGCTTTCATAGTCAGCTGATGCAGCAGTCCTACATACTGCACCGTCGTCGAGTTGTCTAGGGTCGTTCTGATGGGAATGCCTGGAAATGACCAGGTTAAGATCAATGGAATTACAGCAAACAAACTAGTTTGACACTTTTATTGTATTTATCATAAAAAAACGTATTTAGAAGCTGCTTAATCCTGATAAACCCTCAGTTTCTTCATCACTATTGTTGATTATTTAGCATGACTCAACCATATTATGTGATATTATTATATTATATCCATTCTCTATACCATCTTATCCCATGTAGCTTTGTAAAATATTGTATTATCCATTCTCTACCAACTTATTGTCAAAGTCATCGTCTGCACCAGTCTGTCTGTCATCACTACACTTCCCAGGATCTCCTCAACTGAACTCACTTCCTCATTAGCCACCTGTTTTTGGTCATGATCATCTGTGTCACCAGTCCTCACCTCGTTATTGTTCATTTGTATCTGTATTTAGTTTCCTTCAGTTCAGTTAGTCTTTGGCGTCTATGTATACTTGTGTGAAATGAAGTCCTGGAATGTTTCCCTTCATTCCTGTAAGACTAGTTTGTTAATGTTGAGTTCCTTTCGTCCTTGTCTTCTGCATCCTGCACAACGCCTGACACTTATCCGATTGTAAAATGTAATATTATATCCATTCTCTATACCATCTTATTCCATGTAGAATGTAAAATGTTGTATTATGTTAATTATATTGGTTTATTGTACTGTATGATATTACATTAGCCATCTATACCAGCTTATCCTATGGGTTTTGTAAAATATTATATATATAATATTTTATTATCCATTTTCTATACCAGATTATCCCATGTAGTTTTGTAAAATTGTATAATATAAATATAACAGTTAATGTAACTATAGTAAAAACATGTTAAATTGTGATTAGGCCTAAGTTAACGTTACCTTCTGCGTTAACGACTATTGAGCCAATAACACCTTTATAGCCTTGAATCCTCTTTAAAGTGTCTTCGACTTCAGCCTTTAGAGATGAACAAAACAGTTAGGCAGATTAATACACGATTCTAAGACATACATATAATTTGTACGAATAACTGACCAAAAATATAGCTCAAATAAAGTAATTTACCATATCGCAGCACAGGTGAGTCGTCCGTTGGTTCCTCGTTGCTACGGAAACAGAAGTAAATAAAGTTGAAACCATAGGTTGAAACATGATCCACTAATGAACACGTCTTCAAGAATACCTTTTTTATTCCGTTATTATATTGTTTATATTAATGTTGTTGACTCACTCGACAGGCAGAAAATGATTTAAGCAGGCTGTTAAAACTTGTGTACACACTACAGTAGGGTTACTTTTCTCAGCGCTAATGAGTCATCATCATAGGTCATCATGAGTTAGTGGATGACTAGACTAGTCGTTTGTGGTTGCAGGATATTTTAATCAATGTGCAGTAATTACATGTGTTTTATATTATAACAACACATTTTGATAAACTTATCCAGTGAAAGTAAAAATAATAATAATATACAAATAGGCTACATAGTGTTATTTGTGTGTTTATTTGACTTTTATTTAGCCGACGGCGCCCCCTACAGGATACTAATTTTACAATACTTTTCTACAATCTCATCTATTTTCTTTCGCTATGACCGAATAACACACAAAAGCAACGAATGCGTTTTAACAATTTAAAACTGATATCTAAATTGCTATAACCTGTTAACTGCTTTAGTGTTTACTTTTTTAGTTGAAATCCAATCGTCTAATTTCTGGAGGATCACGTGACACTGAAGACTGGAGTAACGATGCTGAATATTCAGCTTTACCTCAAAGGAATAAATTACATTTTAAGTTAAATTAAAATTGAAAACCGTTATTTTAAATTGTAATAATATATTTTTTTACAATACAGTTTTTCCCTTGTTTTTTTGATCAAATAAATGCAGGCTTGATAAGGACAAGAGACTTTTTTCAAAAACATAAACAACATATGTTTCCAAACTTTTGACTGGTAATACATACAGAAATATGTAATTTATAAGTATAATAAATAAATTATGATCTTGATTTCCTCCCCAATGTTTACATATCTGCTTATCGCAGTTGCGCACATTTAACCAGCAGATGTCGCTAGCATGCAGTTTTTCAAAATAAAACGAGAATTTTGATCACGAGAAAAATATTATTTCTTTTTAATACATACATTTTTCATTGCTTTTAAATCTAGCTTTAATATTTAATTTTTTTTTGATTAATGTAAATATTTTTGCTAACCTGGCCTCTCTGTAACCAATCACGGCAACAGTGCAGCGTGCAGCGCGAATGCGTCACGTGAAGACGCCCAGGCACGCGCACGCGCACGCACGTCCCGGAGGAGCTATGCAGAACAGGTGACTGACAGCAGTGGTTGTGCGGTGATGATGTAATGTTGCTACAGATGGCGGTGTGTGCCAGGCTCTGTGGAGTGGGTCAGTCGCGGCGGTGCCGAAGGCGGCAGAGGCACAGCCAGGACCAGAACAGCGACTCCGAGGTGGACATGGACGAGGAGGAGGAAGAGGAGAGGGTCGTGGGCAAAATGAAAGACGAGCCCAATGGCAGCAGCTGTCAGAACAGGCGCGGCGCGGGGCCTAGCGGGGCCGGGGGACTCTGCGGTTCTGCGGACTCTGCTGGGCCTCCACACCCGCAGTCACTGCTGGATCTTCCGCCGGAGCTTCTGGTGCAGATCTTCTCTTCTCTGCCCGGCACTGCGCTACCCAACCTGGCGCTGGTGTGCAAGAAAGTCAGGCAGATTCTCAACACGGAAACAATCTGGAGGAGAAGATGCACAGAGGGTAATGATGAGTAAAACCATTTGGGTTTTATATAGTAGTGGCTTTATGTTTATGTAGTGGCGTCGATCGGCTTATAAACACACGCGCACGCGCACACACACGCGTATATTATGACACCGACTCATATACACACACGCACACACGCGCGTATGTGTATAGGTGTCTGTGCCATGACGGTTATTGTTTTGCGGGGATTTATCATGTTGTTCAAAACAATTGTATCAATCAAAACTTTGATTCGGATATGTTTTTTGTGGGTCAGAAAATCAACCAGAAATTGTCAAGTTTGCCAAGTGAGACATGATCCTGGATCAACATTGATACTTAAACAACACTCATATTTCTATGTATGTGAGTGTGTTTATTAAACCTGACAAAAAAAGAGATGTTGTAAGGAGTTTTTCATAAGTTTTTGTATTATTATTTTCAATCATATTATTATATATTTTTAAATATAATTAATTATTATTTCGTATTTGTAATTTATTATTTATACAATATTTGAAAACATTTGCCCCCAGGAAGCCATTTTCCTTTCATTTTGTATGATCAGAAAACCATACAACAAAAAACAGAAACTTGTGACTAAAAGGTCATTTTTTTTTTAAATATATCTTGACCTTCTCACATAATGATTGAATTGTGTACATTTGCATATAATCAGTTATAGAGTCATTCAAATAAAAGGTTTTTTTTTTTTAGACAATCTTATAAAACATTTTTTTTAATGTATGACACCAACATTAATACAATTAAACCATTTTGAGCCCGATTCAGACCGTTAACGAACAAGAGGATTTTACTGAACGGATTTCAAGCACAGACTTTACAAGCACGGATTTCATAGGACGTTTAATGTTTTAATGTTTAATTTTCAGGAAAAGTGTTAAACATATATATATATATCTTAACCTCTTAAGTATGTCAGCCTTAGGACGAACTTTTTCCGGGGCATGACAACTCTTCCTACTCTCTAGCAGCATGTTTATGCTCAAACAGCAACATTACACACAAACTAAAGTTTAAAAGTCAAATCATAATTAAGGAGTCGGACCCCTATCTGGATAGGCTGCTTTTTGAGATATTTCATATTTACACGTAGTAAAAATTCTAATTTTATTTTAATATGTTTGCGTATCACAGTGTGTTGCTATAAAATGAAATGCATTATGTACATACTGTGGACTGGTGCATAAGTCACGTGATTGGCCAAAACTGTTGGTGGGAAAGTCCTGATAAAATAGTCAGGGGTCTGGATTCTTAGATTAAGCAAGGATTAGGCTTTAGTTAGTAGATTTATAAACGTGCCTTAGAAAAGAGAAGAAACATTGCTGGTGTGCATCTTGAAACTAAACAATGCCACTGACATATTTTAAGATGTGTCGGTGCAAGTTACTTTCAGTTAAAACAGCTCAAGCATGCATTTTAGTCCGTGACTTCGTCTGTGTGTTGATAAGTGACCCTGTGTCTTATCTCAGTTCTTACAGTTATTATTACATAACCATATGTTTAAAGATGAACTGAACTGAAAAAAAATCGACGATGAAAACGTGTTGTTTATGACAATTAAAAGTAAATTACACTAAACATTTTAATAAAAAATATTAATAGGCTATAGCTTTTTATAAGCAACGCAAAATTGCGCTTGTTAGCGCTGGCAATTTCGATGACGTCACTGGCATGGTAGGACCCGCGGAGCACCATAAACAACAGCTGCAGGTCCCATATACACAGACGAAAATGAGCACTTTTAACGGCACGGATTACGCATTTGAGCCCGCGAGGGACAGGCCGGTAGTGTCTGACTACCACCACATGGAGGACGATCAGTTTTAGACTTCACTTACAGTACAACTTACGTTTTTGGGGAGAAGTGATTGTGGGCGCGAGCGCTGTGGAGTATGCATACTGCACAGGAGTCGCTCTTTTGCAGAGGTCAACCTGAAACATTTTTATTGATCGGCGAAAAATGCATCACCATCATGCACCGTTCATTTCGGATGCTGTTCGGTGAGAGAAACGTGTTGGGGGAGGCTATGCTGTCTCTAATGGATGTCCGAGCTGAGACGCGAGCGCCCCATCAGTAACAGGGTATTTTACGAATTTACGAATAGGCGACTAGGCTGGGCTAACTTGTTAGACTTTTCTCAGACTGTTTAGATTAACAGCGTACTGGCAGTTCACTCTATGTGCGAGGGTGCATTTAGAAAGGAGAATCCCATCCTTTACCGTGAACTACACATCAGGAATCTTTTCCCCTCAGCCGAATATCAAGGATTCGTGTACCGTTAACGTGATGTGTTGAACTTGTAACTTGTGTAAATAAAACATTTAATGCAGACATTGTCAGACGTTTCATGTACTCATTGACGAAAGTACATATCTCTAGATAGTGTGTCGCTAAAAATTCTGTTTCTTCAGCCATGTCAGCGCGCCTCAGACTGTTTACAAGCTACGGCTAACGGCTGTTCTGCTGGTGCGGGTAGGCAGCGGAGTGGCTTACCATGCCAGTGACGTAGTCGAATGTTGAAATCCAACATGGCGGCGCCCGTGTAACAAAAACAACACTTTCAATGTACCATTTTATCCCTTTTAACAAATTATGCCATTTTAAAAATTGTACCAATGATGATTAATAAAATACATCTGTTATGTCACCTTTTTTCAAATTTCAGTTCAGTTCATCTTTAACTGCAATAAAGTCAAACAGAGAACTGTACACAAACGTAAAAGTTTGCTCAGGAACTATGTGCATTCAGTTTGTGTGTAAACTGTAACATAGTCAATAGACCAGTAAGTTAGTTGACATGTTTTTGGTCTACATGATTGTTTTATTGGTTCTTCTTTCAGAATTCGGTATGAGAGATGACCTGCGGAAGATGGAGACTGTGGGAATGTCGAGCCGAGATCTGTATGTGAAACGTAAGTAAATCTACTGTAACCACAAAAGCCTAAAGAACTCCCATGCGAGTGTCTCACACTGCCTTGAGTGTCCGCTATTGTCCTCCTTTGCCTGTCCTCTCTTCCTGTGGCGCACTGACCCTGCGTACCTCTCCAGGTGTGAACCCGCAGGTGAAGTCGGGACGCTTTATGAAGCTCCTCCCTGATTATGAGCACATGGACTATCGGGACGTGTACACACACTGTATGTACTGTTCGTGTGAGAAGGCAAATCACTGCCTGTGGCTGAAGATGCTCTTTGCTAATGATGTTTTGTTCCAGGTTCATTGCAATTTAAACTGTCGTGACATGATATCCATCAACTAAATATAAAAATAATGTTATCCTAAAGTGTTCCTAATTTAGTTTTAAAGGTCTCCTACAATAGGTTGAAATGCATCCAAGGTCAAAAAAATGCTTTCATTTTCTCACGCCATACATTGCTCTTTTTTTCTCTTGTCTGTTCTGATTGGTCAGATGACCCTGTCTGTTGTGATTGGTCTACTCTGCTTCAATCAGATGGCCCCTGAATATTAAAGGGATAGTTCACTTTGAAATTAATTTTTGATATGTTTTATCTTACCTCAAGGGCATCCAAGATGTAGGTGTCTTTGTTTCCACAGTATTTTCAATTTTGACATTTTTCAGTCAAACCGTTGTTGTCTATCAGTCATACACTGGAGGCTAAGGGGGTCCACCAAAAATCATGCACAGAGAAGTCAAAATTAAACATGATTTAATGACTCGTAAATGTAAGTACACATTGATGGCCTGAGACACGAAACGAGCGGTTTTTGTGAGAAAACGAACAGTATTTATATTGTTTTTACCTCGTGTGATCACAGTGACGTCCAAGTGATCTGAATCAGTTGTGCAATGTCCAACTGAACCAGTTCAATGTTACGCCGGAAGTGATCGCTTGCGTGCGGTGTGACATCACTCAATATTTACACGGAGATTTCGCAAGTTTTACCTTTTACTAAACATATTTAGATATACCGAAATTGTCTTCCATTTGCGGTTTCCCGTATATCTAAATATGTTTAGTGAAAGGTGAAACTTCCGAAATCTCTGTATAAACAAAGTGTGACGTAGGCGCGCAAGCGATCACTTCACTTCCAGACCGAAGCGCCAGTGCCGTCAGATCATTTTGTCATGGCTATGATTACAAGAGGTAAAACGATAACAAATACTGTTCGTTTTCTCACACAAACCGCTCGTTTCATGTCTTAGGCCATTGATGTGTACTTACATTTACGAGTCATTAAATCATGTTTAATTTTGACTTCTCTGTGCATGATTTTTGGTGGACCCCCTTAGCCTCCAGTGTATGACTGATAGACAACAACGGTTTGACTGAAAAATGTCAAAATTGAAAATACTGTGGAAACAAAGACAGCTACATCTTGGATGCCCTTGAGGTAAGATAAAACATAACAAAAATTAATTTCAAAGTGAACTTTCCCTTTAACCACATGGATTTGTGGTTAATATTAGCTACCTACTGGAAATAATACTTCCTGTATCTTTGGCTATTTTTTTGTACCGGTTTAGAACGCACTAATGCTAATTTCACCGATTATTTAGTATGGATAGTAGTATGCGTATTGGGACACAGCCTTGATCTGATAGCAGCACAAGGGCAGCTTCTGCCGGGCGCCGTGCACGTGTGTGTCCTGCATGCGTGTGTGATAGACACAGGATAGCAAGGGCTGTGCTAACATCAGCTGACTGTGTGAGATGCAGATCTATTAAAAGTGACCAAACATGGATACGTTTTTAGCCCTCTAACTCCAGGAATTTTTGTTATTTGGTTTCCAAGTTAAAAAAAGTTGCATATACTCACACACTCAACATGCATTCATGAGTTCATGCAGAATTCACCCCATCTAACGTTCTTCTGGGTCTGTTCTGTGTTGTGTGCATATTTGTGACACACGAATGTCATGATTTGTATTTGTTTTCTAGTGTTACATCCCTATAGACACATCCTGGGTCTCTGGCAGCCTGATATCGGCCCGTATGGAGGACTGCTGAATGTGGTGGTAAGACTGAGATCACACACAAAAAAAAGATTTCAGTTTGTAATTATACTTGCAGATAATTTAATATGAATGAAATAAAGAGAGTAGTTTCTTAACACACTTAAGTACACTTTTAAACAGTCGACTTCTCAGTCAACTTTTAAAATACTTTTTAAATCATTGTTTTATTGTTCTACACTTTAACCATAGACAATACAACTATCCCAAATAAGTCCCAAATAAGTTGGTAAAAATATTGTAGTATAAGTATATTATTTCTATAAAAAGTATGCATAAGTGTACTACTTTTTACAAGGGACTGTCGGACAAATGAAGTAATTTATTACATTTGATGTTTTGGTCCGTGTATTTCATACTCGCCCTGTTGAGGCGGCTTTGGTCCGTTTCAGTCCAAAAATCATGTATGGATGCATATTTTGAAAATCCACTTGGAATAGGATACTATTTTTAATGTTTGATTTGGGATATGCTGCATAGTATATATCACCCAATAGCTTGTCAACTTTAAAACTGTAAATGTTATGTATATATTAAAAAACCCTCTGAATCAAATACAATTTTAGTGGTAACACTTTACAATAAGGTTCATTGGTTAACATTAGTAAATGCATTAACTAACATGAACTAACGATGAGCAATGCATTAGTTACAGTGTTTATTAATCTTTGTTAATGTTAGTTAATACAAATACAGCTGTTCATTGTGCGTTCATGTTAGTTCACAGTCCATTAACTAATGTTAACTAATACAACCTTTGATTTTTAATAACGTATTAGTAAATGTTGGAATTAATATTAACTAAGATTAATAAATGCTGAAGAAGTATTGTTCACATATTGTACATGTTAACTAATGTAGTTAACTAATGTTAACTAATGATGAACCTTATTGTAAAGTGTTACCATTTTAGTATAATATATATATATGATGACCAGACACATTAAATGTACAAATGACTTTCTTGCTTTGATCATTTTAGGTTGATGGTCTATTCATCATAGGCTGGATGTATTTACCACCCCATGATCCCCGTGTGGAGGACCCCATGCGTAGACGGCCCCTTTTCCGTATACATATGTGGGAGAAAAACAAAGCCACAGTGGAATGTATGTACGGACATAAGGGCCCTCATAAAGGAGACATTCAGGTAAAATGTACCATAATCAACCATAATGGACAATTTGTGCCACAGTTTTTACAAAATCTTGCCTTTTTTTTTCCAGACTGTGAAGAAAGATGAATTTTCCACCAAGTGCAACCAGACCGATCACCATCGGATGGCTGGGGGAAGGCAAGAGGTACAGTACAGTAGGAAAACCGACATTTATGATGGCAATGTAGCTTTGTTGACGACGTTGAATTAGAAATGCATATTTCCGAGGATGTGAACAGCTCCGAGTACATTTACATTTATGCATTTGGCAGCAACATTTCAAGGTACACATTTACATTCTTATCAGTGCTTGCTTCCCCTTCTTGGATGCCCTTCCAATTATCCAATTATCTCTTTAAGGTGACGGTTACATTGTTTTTACTCAAATAAGTACTATGAATTATCTGCATGTAATTACTGTTATGGTTAGGGTTAGTTACTTGTAATTATGCACAGTGTCTTTTATTTCTTCATATGACACAATATGTACGTAAATACCACGGCACACCTCTTCCATGTGCTTGTGCAGGAATTCAGAACATGGTTGGAGGAGGAGTGGGGACGAACGCTGGAGGACATTTTCCACGAGCACATGCAGGAGTTGATCCTCATGAAGTTCATTTACACCAGCCAATACGAGCAAGTCTCCTTCATGACCTCTTCTCACCCAAACACATTCATCTGCCCAGTTACATTTGCGTTTCGTGTGTTTTAAAGGCGTGTTTGTTTGGTTTCAGTAATTGCCTGACATACCGGCGGATCTATCTGCCCCCGTGCCTCCCTTCAGACCTCCTGCAGCCGGGCCTCTTCAAAGGGACGTACGGCAGTCACGGCCTGGAGATTATCATGCTGAGCTTCCATGGCTCCAAGGCCAAAGCCACCAAACTTACTGTGAGTTTGATATCCATAGGTACTGCTGTCGTGATGGCAGGCAATCGTCACAGGAGTCATTTATTGTTGACTCTAAGCATGGAAAGCATGGAAATAATGAAGTTTTTGGGTATAAAGTTAGCACAAGCTGTTGACACACTAAGGCTTGCATATTCTCTAATTACTGCACAACCGCTAAGAAGGTTAGTTCTATATAGGATGATCTATATTTGGCATGATATCACTCTCATGTGACCCACCCGCGTCAGTCACACCACTTCACCTTACATTTATGAAACCTCTCCCTCACTTTTTTATGAGTACTGTGAATTCAGACATGCATGTTCTTTTGTCACATACAATTTTTTTTTAACCTATAATATAGTAGGGAAGTATGTGATTTTGGTTTTAATGATATTTTATCATATATGTGAAAAAGCATGTTTAATTTAATAAGAACTAGCATCGACTACTTGGATCTTTGGGTCTACAATTACATTGTACAGATAAATACATATAACATTTATGTATTTAAGGAATAATGTTTAAATTGCAAATGTTTGATGCACAATTTCATTATTAAAAATACTGTTTTTCACACTTATAATACTATTATTATCTAAAGTAATATTATTTTGAAAAAGTTATTATAAATGGTTAATTATTAAAATAATTAACAGTAATTTTATATGAATAATAATGTATTAAATTCTGAATTCATTTATTTAAATTATTTTATAATTTATTATAAAACCAAAAATAAGCATTTTTGAGTCATTTTAACATTTTAAATAATATATTCGTATACATGACCATAGTTTATAAGTTTATTATTATTATGTTGTTGTTATGTATAATAAATATAAGAAATAATAAATTTAATAAATTCTTTGTTAGTACTTGTTAAATTCAATACTCGCATATACAAAATAAATACATTGATTTAAACATTATGTAAGTAATAATACAGACATAATTATAAGAATTAGATTTATAATTATTTTTTCGCAATATTAGTGGTTGAAATTATTTGAATAGTTGGAATGAATATCAGGAGAAAAGTTGAGTGCTTCCAGATCTTACCGTAGATCGTAGGTGATACAATCAGGTGTTAATGATTCAGAAGATTAAATTGTTATTTTACAATGATATTTACAATGTTCACTTTGTTTCCATATTGTCTCCAACCCAAATAATACGTAATAAATGAATAATTAATCTAAATACCATGTTTTCCCCAAATGTCCAGCTCTAAAACTTTACAAAGGTTCAAGCTAAGGCTCGAACAACATCTATATCATGTCTTATTTTGCTTGCTGATCACCTCACTTGTTTGTTTTCTAGGGGGACCCCAATGTCCCGGCCGGTCAGCTGACGTTAGAAGTCGATCTGAACCGGCCGGTGCGTCTACCGGACCTGGAGACCCAGCGCAACATGGAGGAGCTGTCCCGTCTGGTGCGGGGGGTGCACGAGGAGGCCCAGAGCGACTCACAGGGTCGGGACGTCCCAGCAGAGGTTGCAGAGGGGGCGGAGGGCTCAGATTCAGCGCCCCCTGCTGGAGCGGAGGGGGTCGAGCCGGGAGAACCTGAACCTCAACCTTTCGTGCTGCCTCTGGGAGTCATGGCCCGTAATGAAGTGTACCCTCGCACCTGCAAGAAGTGGTGAGTGCCGTATCCTGAGGATGTGAAAATTTATTTATATAGCACCTATTGTTGTACATTTTTATTTGAATAATATTGATTTTTTTTTATTATTCGTTCTAGTATATTTATTTATAATTAAAAAAAATTAATAGACAAAATATATCAATAAATTGAATTAAACAATTTCAATCAATTCACTATTTTAATTTGTTAAAGTGAATAACTTTATTTTTTTATTTTGTTTATACAATATGAAATATTATTTATGACAATTTATAATATTATAATATATGCTTCTATACCATTTTTTATTAAACAATCATTATTATAGTCCATATAAAATAATAGAAAATAGAAAAGAAAATGCTTAAATTAAAATGTTATGTTACTTAGTATATTGTTATATTCATTTTTATATAATATATATTGTTATATATGAATATTGTTATTTATTTTATGTATATACAAAATACAATTTTATTTATATGACATAAGTATATTATTATATTATATATTTCTATGCAGAAACACTACCTAAAAATGAACTACCTAAATTTATTAAACAATTAAAATAAATGTAAATTGTAAATATTATATGAAATATAAAGATTATATAAAAGAAAATTATTTTAGGTTTAATTAAATGAAAATATTATATTATATTAATTAGTATATTCTATTAAATCATTTTTAGTTATTTATACTGATGAATATATTAAATATAAATGTAATTTACAAAATAAAATATTACATAACATTTTTATTTATAAAATATTAATTTAATGCATTTTATATTATATTACATTATACTAAATATAATAAATAACCGTTTTTTTTAAATTTACATTTTTAACTTGATTATTATATATTAAATGTATGTTTATATGATACATATCATTTGTGTGTATATAAAACATTAATTTAAAGTACACTTGAAAATAATTAAAATGTAATTAATTTCATAAATATAATTAATTTTATAAACATTATTATTATATGAATAATATGAATCGAGGCAATCATTTTACATAATTTGATTCTGATCTGGATTTTCCTTCAGTTTTTACGGGACAGGCCTGATCGCGGGTCACGGCTTCACGAGTCCGGAGCGCACGCCGGGTCTGTTCGTCCTGTTCGATGGCGACCGCTTTGGCTTCATCTGGCTGGAGCTCAAGTCCTTCAGCCTGTACAGCCGGCTGAGCGACCAGCTGCCCCACGCTCAGGCCCCCAGCATGCAGCGCTTCGAGGCCATGCTCCGCAACATGCAGTCGTGGACATCCTGATAGCCGACTCACACTACTGTAGCCATCAGGCACACACTCTGGTATTGCGCTCTCCGCCAGACAGACACACACACACACACACACACAGGCTTGCATCCGCACAGCTGTATTCACAGCCACACGCCCATACGGTTGTATTATATTAGGCCTTTCTTATCAGCTTTTTAATTAAGTTATTTTTGTAACCTGGAAATGGCGCCGAAGATGACGACAATGTGAAAACTCACCCGTATACTCTGCTGAGCGTGCCTCTGAGACCTTTATTCACTCCAAAACCTGTGCTTTTGTGCTTTAGAAAAAATACTTTGTCTTCAGTGTGGCGACATCCGATGAATTTTATCCCGTTTACTTCTTTTGTTTTTCTTTATCGGTAACATTTACAACTGCTTCCATTTTTTCGGCAACTTTCATTGAAAACGAATGACTTCCAGACGCTCCGTCTGTGTTTTAAGAAACCCTTTACGTTATATTCATCACACTGTTGTTCCAAGCGAGTAGCTGATTGGTTATCCGCCAAATTTAACGACCGTCTCATTATGTCGTGATAGTGCTTCTGTTCATCTAGCTGTGCAGCTCTCTTCCAAGTGCTCTTCCTTACGCAGATGATTATCAGAGGCACAATTCCTCTGACTATACTTTTGTATTTGACCGCAGCATTACTAGCAATTGAAAATGAAAAAAAATTAAAAATCACTATAATGTAAAGTGAATATATATGTAAATGCATTGGAAATATTTAAACATTTATCAATATATTTCAGCTTTGTTTTAAGAATGATTGTATATATGGTCGACAAACTAATTTAAGTATTATCGCCTGTGTTTACAAGTTGTGATAATTGTGATAAAAGTGGAATATTCTCCTAGAATTGGCCATTTACGTGGACTGATATCGTACAACTATTGATTTTATTCCAAATAAGATGAAATTTTAGCTGTTTGCATGGGCTCATAACGATTTGAACCATGTCTCAAAGTGTTTGTGGAAACGTGCTCATTTAATCAATCAAAAATTGGTCCTATGTAGCTCAGTTTCTCAATTTGACTCCCACAAATTGATTTTATTGTAAATGTGTGATTTTTAGCTGCTTATGTTGGCTGCTAGGTATTCAAGTTATATTTCAAATGGATTTGTGGAAACATATCCCGATTAATATATACAAAATAGCCTTGTTTACTTCCAAATGCATAAAATCAATTGGGGTTGCAAAATTCCTGGAACTTTCAAAGTTCCATTGGAATTAATGGGAATTAATAGAGAGAAAAAAAATGGTTTTGAAAAAAAACTTTACCGGAAATGTGCAAACCCAATTTTAATGACGATTTAACAAAGCAGTGCCTAAAAGTGCATTTTATACATTTGTGCTGGTGCAACTATTGATTTTATTTAAAATAAGCTGCTTATGTTGGCTGCTAACTATTTGAATCACAGGAAATATGCTCGTTTATGTCAAAATTTACTTCAATTTTTCAATTCCCAATGGAAAAAATCAAGTTCTGCACCCATTTTATTTATTTCATTGGTCAATGTCCTGATTCCCAAATGGTTTATTTCATGATGACTTTAATTCCGGGTTTCCCTCTGTTATTTATATATGAGTATAATTGAGCAAAGCTCTGTGCCTAAAACTATAATTTATAATTTTCTTCTGTTCTTTAATTTCCTTATTTTTTTAGTGTGATCACATTTATGTGTCAAAACCGCTTCTTAAGCGAGTCAATTGTCCGATACTGGTGATGTTAATCTGGTAATATGGATTTTTTTTATTTATTATATAATCTGTCAATATTGTCAATAGTCGGATTATTGTCGTCTATGTGAATTTGCCAGTAACTAAGTCTCTAAGCGCAAATTCATGACTAGTTTGCACCTCGTTGCATTCAAATTCAGGGAGGTTTGCAGCTTTAGCCTTCGTTTGTTCTCAATAAAATGGAGGAAAATCTTCAAATGTTGTCCAACTTTTATTTTGAAGTCCTAAACAGATTAAAGTTAAAAATGACTTGGTTAATTATCAAATGATTTCTTTCAAATTCAAACTTTAGAATCAAAATATAATCAGTGCTTATTTGATTTTCACAGGTTAACATTTAAATTCTTACAATCATAGTAATTTGTGTTATTCATACATTTAAGTGCTTTGTGTTCATTTGACAAGATTAAGATTTTTTGTTTTATTCTTTTTATAGTTCCAAGTGCTCTCTTTTCTCTCGGCCTTGTCGAATTAGATCTGGAAGCGTCTTGGTCATGAACGCAGAGTGTTTTCCCTTCAGGTTCTTGCCGGGTTTCTGTTCCAGTCCAATGCCGAGATACACGGCTTCATCCTCGTATTCAGGCCAGTGTGTCAGACCCCGACCGTTCGGAGACCTGCCGAAAAATAGACATATTAAAGTGCAGACATGTTCTTTACACACACATGCACACACAGAGAGAGGATTCAGGACGGATGTTTTACCCGGTGTGTGCAAAGTTCCCCCAGTAGGCCATCATAGTCCTGCATAGCTCTTCCTCTTCCTTTGTGAAAGGAGCTAAAGGGATTGAACCGTTAGATGAAATGTCAGAGTAAAGAGTTAATTTGTTTTTGTAATCACGAGTCTTACCGGTTGCTTTGAGATGAGCTTTAGCAAAGCAGATTCCCTGAACAAAGAAAAGTTCATCCGCATGGTCGACTCCAACAAAGCTGGGTCTTTTCTTCTGGATCATACTGGGAGGATGCTGGAACTGGTACAGGTAAACCGGCGCTCCTGAGGCTAAAATCACAACAGGGTTCCTTGGTTTTACACACATTTTTACTCCGAGTAGTTCACTCTGATTTTGAGGAGCAAAAAGGATTATGTAAACATGCACAATAGACGTCCAGTTCAATGGTTTGGCTGCATTCATATATACAAAATATTTTCATTTGTTTTATTTTAATATTTAATTATTAATATACTTTACTTTATGAAATATAACTTGATGGATGAGGATGATTATAACTAAAATTTATTTTAATTTAAATATAATATTTTCAATGCATTCCGTTTAAATGTTTAACATTACAGCTTAAGTTTTTTAATTATATTGAATTAAAAATGTAAACAAATTAATGATACTAAGAAATGTATTTTAATATATTAATTTCAATATTTGCAGAATTTAACAGTTAACTAAATACAGGGGGGGGGGGGTTATATGAAAAATTAAATGAAAATTTTGTGAAAATGATTTTAAAAAATGCTGGCGGTGGCTGGCAACTAAAAAAACAAACAAAAAAACAAAGCTGGCTGGAAAAGAGTTAAATGACTGCAAATATGATGAAACCCTTTAACTATAGACGGTGTTTAAATATGAATGAATCAGTAAATGATTGCTTCTCACCGCTGTGGTGTTGTGCCAGTTGGAGGGTGGGGATATTAAAAATCACATCCCCCATCATCTCTCTATTAATGTCTCTGATCTGAATGGGGTCGTTTGTGTGGCCCACGTACTCCTTTACCACCAGGTCAATGATCCACCGATCCCTGGGCTGAAGAGAATTGAGTTCAAAGGACAGAATCCAAAGAATACAAAAAGTGAAGAAAAATTTGAACAATTAACTGAAAGCATAATATTTTATAATGTAAATGTCCATCTTACGTCAGGATAAGTCAGGGTCAAGGCTTTTGCGGTTTGCTCTTTATCCATCCCATCAATCCACCCAGGAGCGAAAAAATACTAAGGCGAAATAACATTCAAATTTATGCATCAGAAAACAAAACCTAAAATATGAATATATATTATAAATGTTTGTGTGTTGACTTCACACAGTTGATACCTTTTATTTTCAACAGTAGTTTTGATTAACTTGAATTTGTAAAGACCATGCAACAAAAATACAGTAGCATAATAGGGGAACTTTGGGGTTAAAAAGGCATTTTACCTTAATATCAACATTTATTCATTTATTCCAATTGATCTAACCTGACGTAAATCTAAAAAATACTTTTTCTTTCGTTTTTTACCGTAATATAACACCAGATGAAAGATACACCTTCAAACAAAACAAAAAACTACTATACTGTGTATACTAATGCATATTCTATAATAATAAATGTAATATTTACTCACTGTGGGCAGTAAATAGCCAAACTCATCATCAGTAATACCAGTGATGAGAGGAACTTTACTGAACTCTTGTTTCTGAATGATCTCCTCTACAGGCTTGGGAAGGAAATGAGAATCCACGGCAACACTGAAGTGCATCATCTCGAACTATGAACACAGTTTCAGTTTATGGTTTGAGTCTATATTTCAGTTCATCATAATTGCTTGGCAGTACACTTCAACAACCATATTTCAAAGTCAATAGAATTATGAAATTAGATATAAAGATGTATTTAAACTAGAACACTCTTTAGTTCAACAAACTACATTAAATATAAATTTAAACTATAATACTTTTATAACATGCAATAATGGGTCTGAAAACATATATGAATTTTCACAAGGGATCTTTCTGCTTTACACCGTATGATTTCAGAAACATTTTTCTTAAAGAGATAGTTCACCCAAAAATGAAAATTAGCCCATGATTTACTCACCCTCAAGTCATCCTAGGTGTTTATGACAGCCGAATTCAGACGAATATAATTGGAGTTATATTAACTCTAGTTAGTGTGTAATGTTGCTGTTTGACTACAACAAACGGCTGGTAGGGACTACACGACATTCCTCTAGGGTTAGTGACATCAGCAACCCCAAAATGCACATAAACCCCGCCCCCGGGAACACAGTCCATGTTGAGAAGAGGAAAAGTTGTTGTATAAGAGTACATTTGTGAGTCAACTCAAACTTTAGCATCCATCTTTTCACATGCAATAGAAAGTCTTATTTTCTGTCATTTTAGTGTCTGTTTGAGAAACCCCGCCCTCTGCAGCAGTTCATTTACATTTAAAGGGCCAGGCACAAAACGGTGCATTTTTGCAAACCCTCAAAAAGTGACAACTTTAACATGCTATATAAAAATATCTGGGGGGTATTTTGTGCTAAAACTTCACACACACTCTGGGGACACATCAGAGGTTTATTTTACATCTTGTGAAAATGGCATTTTACCACCCCTTTAAAAAATGCCAGTGGCAGTGAATTGTTATGGCAATGGGGGTTTTTGTTTTCGACCCACGCGCTGTATGTGGTAGACCAATCACAACAGACTGAGCTGTCTGGCCAATCAGAGGAGAGTAGGGATTTAGAGAGACTGGTTCATCTGACGAGTCGTTTGAGAATCGTTGAAAAATGTGACGTGCAAACGTATATTATGAGAAAATTAAACAGTTTTTTTGACCTTTGATGAATGTAAACCTGTCGTAGGAGACTCCAAAACAACTTTAAGAAACTTTAAACTAGCATAATATTTGCACTTTAATATATCTCTGATTGTATTAGTCTGAAAGAAGAATGTCATACACACATTGAGGTGAGTAAATCATGGGCTAATTATTATGAACATTTATAAAAAATCTCACACCTTTTTGGAACATTCCAGAACTTCCTCTTCAGACCAGCCCATGATGCAGTCAACGATCTTTGATGAACTGCTACCGTCACAGTTGCATGATTTGGCTGCATTCTGCAATGATCATCAACATGAGGACTTAAGAAAGACTTAAATAATTTAAGAAGGTTATGAAAGGAAATGATACCTGGGCGATCAGCAAAGGATTATCCATCACTAAACCATGCCAAAAGGCATTCCCGCTTTCTGCGATGGCTCGATGAAACAGACCAGAAGCCAATGGTGAAAGAATCTTAAAGACATGACGACACAGAAAGTGACTCCATCATTCTGAACAATCATTACAGCTGAATTATGGTTTTTACAGTAACTAAATAAAGAAGCACACCAGCGTGGACACACTGACTCCTCCAGCAGACTCTCCAAAGATGGTCACTGATCCAGGATCTCCTCCAAAGCTGTGGATGTTCTCCTGGACCCACTGAAGCGCAGCCACCTGGTCCAGAAGACCATAGTTTCCTGGCGCATGTTCATCTCCTGTGCTGCAAAAAGAATTAAATACAGAAAAATGTATTCAGATACAGTAGTAAGGCAATTGTCAACGATTTTGGCCAAATCTTTTGAGTTTCAGCAATTTCAGAGCATCATTAATACGTACCAAAGCATAAATCAATTATAATGCCAAGTTACAAGCATTAATTGCAATAGTTTAATGCTATTAAACATTTAATTCATCCTTAAATTTAACAAAGTAACTTTGGTAGCCCTATTGTATTGATGTGATTATTAGTTCATTGTTTTTATTTGATTTTGATTACTAATAGCTTTTGTTTCTTTACAAAAAAAAGAAGTTTCCTTTTTGTAGTCAATATTACGGCTAGTAAATTAAAAAAGCATTAAAAGAATCTATTTGACTATGGAAATTTAATCCAGATTTGATTAACGTATCAATTACAGACTAAATTTGTACCTACTTGTAGTAAAAATCCATTAAATCAAAATCTACAGTGGATTTTTAATCCAGTTATTTTTGCACCTTATTTTTAATGTTTTTTTTTAAATAATTCATTAATACATCTATTTTAATAATTATAACGCATCTGATGTAATAGGTTTCATGCTTGAACTGCGATAATAATAATAAAAAGTTCATGAAAATATTATGAATTGTATCAGATTTGATTAAGTACTGCATCATTTATTTAAAAATAACACTTATTAAATAGCAAATATTCATACCTCATATTAAAACATTAAAATTGGTGATCTTTCCGCATTCATTAAGCATTCATATGATCTGTGCTGTGAAATAATGTATGGCACCAACCTTAAGAATCCCAGCAGTCCCAATCTGTACTGAATCAGCACCACGACCACATCCTGATACGCTGACAGAACGGAGCCATCGTACACTGAAGCTGAACCAAAAGTAAGTCCTCCACCATGAATCCAAACCATGACCTAGAAAACACAAGGAAACATTCTCGATCCAATTTCTATGAGGACGTTCAATACTAAAAAGCTGTTAATGAACTCACTGGCAACTTGGCGTCTTCTTCACCAGGTTTGACTGGAGTGTAGATGTTGAGATACAAACAGTCCTCCGAGACCTCAGGAATCTCCACATCCATAGAGAGAAACTCCATCTCAACGACACTCACTTGCCTGTCCTGAATGCACCTAAAGAAACCACGACATATTAGATACTGGAAATGTCTAAACCCATCTGAATTGAAATACGGTTGAGTGGCATCTCACATTGGTGGCTGTTTGGTAGCATCTCTCACTCCTTGCCATTTGTCTGCAGGCTGGGGCCGAGCCAGTCTCAGGGACCCCACTGGGGGCCTGGCGAACGGTACACCGAGATAGCTATTGATGACAGTTTCCTTGCCCTTCACAGTCAGAAAGGCACCTCTTAAAGATCCTAATTTTGTTTGCACTACAGGTCCTGTCAAGAAAAACAATAATAATAAAATATAAAGATTTAATATAGTTTGCATTAGGCAAACTTTTGCATTTAGCAAATGAATTATGGTTTCATGACAAAAAAAAAATCTGAAATTGATAACTTGCCTTCATTCCACTCTTTTATTATCTGTGGAAGTTTTTGTGTCATGAAAGTAAAGTGTTTTCCCTTAATGTTTTTGCCAGGTTTCTGTTCCATTCCAATGCCGAGATACTCCGCCTCAGCTCCATATTCAGGCCACTTTGAGAGGCCCGGGCCATTCGGAGACCTGACGTCAATGACAAACACACACAAAAAACAAACTTTCTAATGCAAAACTGTCACTTGCAATACTGTTATATAACTAATGTTAATTATTTTAGTTACTCTGGCTGGCTCTAAATATGCATTGCAAAATAATCCTTGCAAAAAAAAAAAAAAAAATAGTTGTAAAACATTGACTTGAGAAATTGATGTGAAAGTAAAAAATAAATACAATTTTGATTAAATAATTAGTATGAAACCTATTGCTCGTTTATAAGTGGGTAGTTTTACCACAGTATAAAAACACAAATGAAAAACACTATCAAGACCACTGTTGTAATGGTCTACATGAACTAGTTCAAAGTTCAGTTCACACATTTTAAAATGAACTAGTTAAGTTCATAGTTCATACGTTCTTTTTTCCATATGTTGCGATCATTATTATTATTGCCACAGCCCATATACAACCACAGACAACAATTATTTTATCGACGGGCAAAGTGTGCACAGAAATGTAAGATTTTTCCCATCCATAAACCAGTCTGAATGATCGACACCTCCTCGCTCGCTGCTTTGTCGACGGCGGCCGCGGTGCGACACTGGTGGCTGGTGTTGCCAGATTGGATGTTTTTTCCCGCTACATATTAAAGCCTGTTTACGTGTGCTTTAGCCGGGGTTTCGTCTGGAAGGTTCTATAGACATCTGGCACCCTCTTGTGAGAGAGCGTGCGTTCACACTCACAGTAACGTTCATCACCAGGCAGTAATACAGTACGTTCAGTTCACGTTCGCCCAAAATATGAACGCTTTCGGGCACAACACTGCAGATCGCTGTAGGCCTACTAGGCTCCTCATGTCAAGCGGCAGCGCGGCGCCTGAGTAAACGCGATCATCTCTTCCTCAGTTCCAGAATGGACACCTGAAGGTATGTTGAAACTTTGAAAGATTACTTACTGAAAGGCATTATAGCTCGTGTAATCGCTCAATCAGTGTTTCAGTTGCGGAAAGACGTCAATAAAACAGCATAGCTTGTCAGTAGCATTATATTTACCTCAACAGGCAAGTGATTCAGTGTCCACAACTTTGGTTCCTTCCTAAATGAACTCTTGCACTAAATAAATGCACTATTTTAGCCTATATATGTATTATATTTTACTTAACCTGTTAATGATACCTTGATTATTTAATGTGTGTTTAAAATATATTTCATGAAAACTGTATTAAATATTTCAATAACAAATTAGAGTAAAAATGCACAACTGCCTTATGTTCTGTTTACATGTTTTCATTCAACGTGTTGTGTGTTGATTATTATATCTAAAAAATAAATAGCATCTGAATTTAGGTTAAAAGTCTAGGATACAACCTTTAATGTTATAGTAATGTGCGGCTCCCAATCGGCTATAGTTTACAGCATTAGCAGACATTTAAATGTAATTTAATTAATTTAAAGACAAAGACAATTTTTTCATTAAACCACTTAAAAAAAGCAATTTTAGCTTTCTTAACCGAACCGAACCGAAGACGTCAAAACCGTGGGAAAAAGTGCACAGCAAAAGTGTTTTATCACTGATGTAATCACTTACCCAGTGCGGGCAAAGTTTCCCCAATAAGCCATGACAGTTTTACTAAGTTCATTTTCTTCTTCTGTGTGTATATCTGAATTATGAAGAAGAAAGAATATTTAAACTTAATATTGAGACTTAAAAAGTAGCCAATATCTCATCACTTTGACAATGTAGTTCCAGTTAAATCTTTGCAAAAAAAAAAAAAAAAAAAATGAGACTGCAGTTAGAACTTGAATACTAACAAACCTATTATTTTATATAAATTAGGTTGTACCTTTCATATTTAGAAATCCATTTCCAAAGCAGTTACCAAAAACAAAAAAAACTTCATCTGCATGGTCACATCCAACAAAACTGGGTCTTTTCTTTTGAATTATACTGGGAGGATGCTGGAATTCATACATGTACACTGGTGCACCGGCATCTATTAAGGGAAAATGACTGAAAATAAACTGGCATAACTGGTACACAGTGGCACAGTGATGCATAAAAAGAGTAAACTCTCACCTCTGTGGTAATTCGCTACTTTGCGAGCTGGGATGTTGAACAAAAAATCACCCATCATCTCTCGAAAGCCATCTCGGATTTTGATCCTATCAGTGGATGTGCCCAGATACTCATTTAAAACAAACTCAGCAATCGCCTGATTTTGAAGGTAAAGAAAGTGATATTTAAACTAATTGAGTATTAAGCCACACACAACATAATTTATCCTCCATGATTTATATGTATTTTTGTTGCCAGTATTTCAGTCATGTCCTGAAACTTGGTATTTCAATTGTGTAATATAACAGATCAGTCTGTTTACAAAGTTTTGATCTTTAGAAGTAATAGGAATATACAGTATATACATTTGCATAACTGTAATCAAATAAAATAAAAAATAAAATACACAATGCTTTGTGATTGCATTACCTAAAATTAACACACAACTAAAACAGGAATGGACCTAAAATAAAACCTTGGGGGATGCCATAAATAATAACAGAAACTATTGATAGGGGCAAATGAAACTAACCAAAATAATATTCCTTTTTATTTGTGTGTGTGTAGTAAACAAATAAGTTGATTGGTTAATAGAGTGAATGAACTGTTCTACCATGCACTTTGTAAATATACTTATTACTGCTACTTTTGAAACTTCAAACTTTTTAGTTTTTAAACAAATTATGAAGATATCAGCAAAAAAATAAATAAAATAATAATAATAATAATGATGTCTTACATCAGAATTAAATGGAGGCAAATATGCCATGAGCTGCTCTCGGTCCAATCCATCTATCCACCCAGGGGGTCCAAGAATCTATAGAAAATAATTTTTGAAAATTAAATTGTTTTACACGCATTCAGATATTTGGTATTTTGGAAATAATCTATGACTTTAAATCAATGTTTTTCAGTAAAATTATATAAAAAGAAACATTTCCATTACATTAGGTAATGCATATCCAGCCTCATCATCAGTAACTCCGGTGATCAGAGGCACTTTATTAAACTGGTGGGATTGAAGAAGCTCCTCTACAGATTTCGGAAGGAACTGGCCATCTACCGTCACTCCAAAACGAAGCATAAATTGTTCCTGTATTATAAGCCCAACATATGCAAACACACATTTAGCACAGAAATGATCTGTATCAATAATATTATTAATACTGATATTAATTACTTAATGGCGTGACCTTACAAGTTTTTTTTTTTTTTTACAGAAAGTAAAAGATGAGAACAATTTAACAAATTCTATTAAATATAAACATGTCATGTGTAAGAATGAATAGATGAATGGATGGTTGCAATGCAAACCCTAGTAATCTTTAATATGTCCTCTTCTGACATCTGCATAACACAGTCAACAATCTTCTTTGTGCTGGAAATATCGCAGCCAGATGAATTTCCCATATACTACAGAAAGATGTTGATACATTTTGATTAAATATCTGTTTGTTACAGTGAAAGAAAATGAAAATCGTAACTTTGAATTTGTAATGAATTTGTGAAATGTACTTGGGCTGTTGGCAGAGGGTTGGGACTCATGACAGCATCCATTGCTGCCGTACCGCTTTCTGCGATAGCATAGCGAAACAGATTTGCAGATAATGGAGAAAGAACCTATAGAATATTTAGAGAACTTTTTAAACACATAGAATATGTAAAGTCATATTTCAGAAGATCTATACAAGTCCCCAATCATTGCATGACCCCAACAACTAAATTCTTACATGTAAAGACACACTGACTCCTCCAGCAGACTCTCCAAAGATGGTCACTAATCCAGGGTCGCCCCCAAAGCTGTGGATGTTCTCCTGGACCCACTGAAGCGCAGCCACCTGGTCCAGAAGACCATAGTTTCCCGGCGCATGTTCATCTCCTGTGCTAAATGGTCATTTATCAAATACAAGGTCGTAGAGATAATGTTCAAAACATGGAAAATAGTCTACTAGTATTCTATACAACTAAAGGTGCAGTCACATTTGCTGTTGTTCGTGAATTTTCACAGCAAAATCTAGTAATTTCAATAAAAATTCACACATCTGGAATTTCACAAAAGAGTGTAAGGTTTGCCTAATTCTTATAGAGCAAATATTGTTTTCATATGTCAGAGTTTCTTCTATTTCTGGCACTTTTATATCTCAGAGGGTTCTTTAACAGATTTGAAGAATTTTATAATTTTTTGTTGTAACGAGGATCCCATTACAACAATATTGGGATATTTTTATCATGCCATGTTTTATTTTTACTACTTTTCAAATACAGATTTAACTGGACATTCAGCCTTAAAGTCCCTATGAAATCAAAATTGACCATACTTACTTTGTTTGCCTAAATTGATCGTTTTGTGGTGAACAATTCATACATGCAAGTCAATCCACACAAAAAAAAAATGTTTGGCTTCGTAATCTTTAATCAAAGTTTGAAAATGCCCCTCCCCTCTGCATTGGAGGACCTTGCCCGATGACGTAGGCTTTACGGTTTGGGTGTCTCCTTAACATCCATAACCACGCCCCTCCAACTGACAGCTGCTGTGTGTTTGCGAGCGCCGAGCGAGCATTGATTGATAGCGTGTGTAAACTTGCGTCATCCTCCATTTCAGAATGAAACACCCATTTATCTAGATCCAATCAGGTGCTAGTTAGAAAAAAAAGCCACGCCCACTATTTTGCCTCATTTAGTATTCCGTTTCTCTCCGAAATACGTCACAACACTGGAGAAAACTCGTTTGCAACTTCCGGTTCACTGGGACTTTAAACTATGACATCATATTCATCTAAAAAATATATACCGTAATGGTTATAAACACAAGTTATAATACAAATATTGAAAGTGTTTACAATTTCACTGTGCAAAAATGAAGTTCCCTTTTGATATGGTTGACTTGTCAGTTCGCTGACGCTGATAGGGAAAACTACATTTTCTCAGAATCCTGAAGCCTGATTGGTTAACGTCTGTGCAACCACATAGACCAATGGCACTCTAGCCCACCGAAAGTGGCAGGGATGGCTGCCTATATTAAGCCACGCAGAAATGCCCATTTGTCAGACGGCTTTGTGGAGCGCTACATCGTGGCCCATAAGTCATTGCAGGCACTTCACGACTTCCCCAAAAGAACCAGCTCCTCCACTGCCTCCTGTCTCTTCAAGATGGCCCAGTCGACTTAGAAGTGACCCAGGCAAGCCTCAGCACCCGTCCAGCCCCAGCCAAAAGCGGAGCGGAGGGGGAAAGAGTTAAGACCCACCGAGGCAGGGCCACCCTAAAAGCGTGCCTATCTCGCAGTCGCCTCTTCAGTTCAGGGCACTGGAAACAATGTTTTTGTTGCCAGTTCTACTTCTTCGTCCCCGAGAAGGATGGCGGCCTCAGGCCTACCCTCAATCTGAAACAATGATCGAGATATCTGAATCGCGCCCTCATGAGACGGCCTTTCAGAACGTTAACTATTAAACAAATCATAACGCAAATTCACCCTGGTAAGTTATATCAGTGGATCTGAAAGACGTCTACTTTCATATCCAGATTGCTCCCCCGCCACAGATGTTCTTTAGATTCATGTTCAAGGGGATTGCTTACCAATATACAGTCCTTCCATTCTGACTCTCTCTAGCTCTGGGTACTTTTACGTAGTGTGTAGACACGACTCTCTCTCCTCTGAGACAGACGGGAATCCGCATACTCAACTACCTTGATGATTGGCTGCTTAAAGCCCAATTGGAACTGGATTTATGCGGCCACAGATCCCAGCAAAAGACAGCAGTGAAATTAGACTCTTAAGATAAATGAGTTGGTTGTTTTAAAATGAATTGTCCACCTCAGAATGCTATTAAACTCAAATCATAATTTGAGATGTGACAGACATATACACTGCATATACACTGTTGGACAATCTTAGTGAACATGAGAGTATTTGATGTGTGACTTTATTTTCTAAAAGTCCACAGGGCCAAAAGTGCTCACAGTTGAAGAAACAATGGAACAATTAAATAATATTTTTAGCAAATAACTAAGCTGTAGATGTTTTTACCTGAAGAATCCAAGTAGGCCAAGTCTGTACTGGATCAAGACTACAACGACATCTTGATAAGCAGCCAAAACATGTCCATCAAAAATGGAAGCAGAGGCCACAGAAAAACCACCTCCGTGAATCCAAACCATGACCTATTGCACATCATGTATTAGAGAGAGAAAAAAAAACATTAACCAAAGCTCAATTAAATTCAGACCAAACACTTACAGGCAACTTGGTGTTGTCCCCAGGCTTAGAGGGAGTGTAAATGTTGAGGTAAAGGCAGTCCTCTGATACTTCAGGGATCTCGAAATTGATAGACACATTAGCCATGAACTCTATAATTATCTCCCTTGGCTGTAAACACCTAGGATAAGTAAAAAGCAAAGTGTCACGGTTTCCAAACGAAAATGACTGACAATTTCAGTAGTTTTGCTTTAATCGTACATTGATGGCTGCTTGGTTGCATCTCTCACTCCTTGCCATGGTTCTGCAGGTCGTGGTGGAGCCAGTCTCAGGGGGCCCACGGGTGGCTTTGCAAACGGTACACCAAAATAGCTATTGACAACAGTGTCCTTGCCCTTCGCAGTCATGAAGGAACCTCTTAGAGATCCTAATTTTGTTTGCACTACAGGTCCTGTCAAAAACAAATGTGCAACCATTCTTAATATTATACAGTGAGCCTAAGCCAATTTTGAAACACTGCTGACTCTGATAACTTGCCTTCCTTTCGCTTATTTATTAATCGTGGAAGGGTTTGAGTTATGAAATGAAAGTGTTTTCCCTTCAGGTCCTTTTCAGGTTTATGTTCCAGTCCAATGCTGAGATACTCAGCCTCAGCTCCAAATGCAGGCCACGATGTGAGGCCCGGACCATTCGGAGACCTGAAAAAGGTCAAATGCATTTGCCAAACTCTTAGAAATACATTCTATTTAAACATATTTGTTTAATATAGTTTAAAAAATAAAATATGAGAGCCTCCAGCTCGCAGAGCTGACATGTGGGTGCCGGTGCACATTCACTTTGAAATTAATTTTTGCCGACTAATCTCATGAAATAGCGTGTGTATGACACGTCAATTCGTATTTCCATTTTTGGTGTGCTATCAAGACGCATAATCGCTTTTTAGCGTGTTTATGAACGCCGTTGACTTAACGTTACATTACTGTATATGACCAACCTCAACCCCATCCCTAAACCTACCCGTCACTGGGGTTAATAGCATTCATTTAGTCCCTCACCATCCTAGGAAAAAAAAACATTGCTCCCCCAATGTAGATCTATATTTTGCTTCGTTTCGCTCGGACATTTGACGGCGTGTACATACACGCAGAATCACTCGGACATTAATGGCGTAGACATACACGCGGGTAGCTCAAAATGCGTAGAGATAACACGCCACTTGACTCAAAAGTGGCGTGTATGTTTTCGCAAAAGTCATGATGTCATGTTGAATTTTTGATATGTTTTAGCTTACTTCAAGGGAATCCAAGATGTAGGTGTCTTTGTTTCCACAGTATTTTCAATTTTTATATTTTTTTGGAGCCACATTACATTGCTTTTTACGACCTCACTGATTGACTCAAGAAGACGGCAGGGGTCTTCACTATGATATCACTTATGTTTCTGCATGTTGGTTGCGCCACAAGATTTAATTTGGCAAATATTTGTCACATTTGAACAAACTTCCTCAAAGACATCTTTCCTCAAACTACTTCTCAAGAATTTCATCCTTTAAACAAAGCTTTTTATTTTTGATATCCGTCTACCACCCTGAAACTTTCAACTGGACTTGTCTGCAGAACTTGATTTCACCAAGTGCAACATCTTTGCAGCATTCCAATCAACTAATCAGATTTGAGGGATAAGTTTACAGTTTATGTCAAGTTTATGCATACAACCAGGGTTAGGTGCTTCTACATCAGTGTAATTCACGTATGATTTCCCTCTGATTTTAGGGATAAGTTATGGGTAGGGTTAGAATAAATTTTCAGACAGGAATGTTGTTCCAGTATAAACAAATTATATTGACCCAGGAACACGTCGAACTCTGCAAAATCAACATGACATCATGACTTTTGCGTAAACATATACGCCACTTTCGAGTCAGGTGGTGTGTTATCTCCACGCATTTTGTGCTATCCGCGTGTATCCGCGTGCAAAATGTAGGACCTGAGATTTGTCTCACTCACCCTGTGCGAGCAAAGTTGCCCCAGTAATCCATGACAGATCTACAAAGTTCATTTTCTTCTTTTGAGACCTCGCCTGAATTAAAACAGGAAGAAAGACGTCAAATAGGAAAAACAGAGAACTTTGACAACTGTTTGTTGTTAATTATGTCAATGAGAATAAAGTTTGCGATCTGAAGGTATGGTCACATTTAACGTTTTTCTGCAAATTTTCACAGTCGTAATCCAGTCATTTCAATAGTAATACACATGACTGGATATTTCGTCGTGATTTCCCCAAGCAGATTTCACAACGTGTTAAAGGAAATTCCCTGTGTTGACCAACTGAAAGCTGCTTTCTCTGTGAGCTGTGCTTCATACATCACTACATTGCTGACAAGAGACAATTGACCATTTTATTGTGAAGTTCGCTAATATGACCATACTTTTAAAACACTAAATCTGTTTGTTATATAATTGGGGTTGACCTTCCAGCTTTATATCTCCATCTGCAAAGCATAAACCAAAAACAAATGCAAGTTCATCTCCATGGTCACTTCCAACAAAACTGGGTCTTTTCTTTTGAAGTAGACTGGGAGCATGCTGGAATTCATACACGTATACTGGTGCACCAGCATCTAGAAATAAACGAAGTGGATAATTATTGATGTGTTTCACTGAAATAGCTTTCTACAAAATAAACACAGTCATACTTCTACAGCAAATTGAACAAACCCTCACCTCTGTGGAAGTTCGCTACTTTGCGAGCTGGGATGTTGAACATAAAGTCTCCTATCATCTCTCGAAAACCATCTCGTATTTTGATCCGGTCAGGGGATGTGCCCAGATACTCATTTAAAACAAGCTCAAGAATTGACTGATCTTGAAGCTAAAGGAGATCAAAATAGACCAGAAATATTATTTTAAAAAATATATATTTTTAAAAAGCATTTTTAAATTGCAAACCATATTGGCTAGTCTTGAAGCTTACTATCAGAGTTCCTCTAAAACCCTCCACCAGCTCCACCTGCCAACATCTATTGACAGTAGGGCTGTGAAACGATTAATCGCATCCCAAATAAAAGTTTGTTTACGTAATATATGTGTGTAGTGTGTATAATTATTTTGTATATATAAATACACACATATGCATGTATTTATTTAAGAAAAATGTGTTATTGATATTTCAAATATTTATTTTTATGTATAATATTAATTTTGTATAAATATATATATACATGCAAATATTTCTTAAATATATACATGCATGTGTGTGTATTTATATATACAAAATAATTATACACACTACACACACATATATTATGTAAACACAAACTTTTATTTTGGATGCGATTAATCTCGATTAATCGTTTCACAGCTCTAATTGACAGTAGCAAGTCCACTCTTGCTCTGCAGCAGCAATACTCAAAAGCAGCAGTGTCACAGATCTAGTCCACCAAACCAAACTATTTCAAAAGTTGTTATTAAATTATTATGAAATTTGTCATGATTTAATTTATTGCAATTATGTATACATATATACAATTGAAGATAAGATAATTGATAATTGAAGATAAGATAATTGAAGAACTCTCTTACAGAAGGATTAAAAGCGGTCAAAAACGGCATGATCTGATCAATGTCCATCCCATCTGTCCATTCTGGAGCTGAAAAGAACTATGGAAAAACATTTGCTAAATGTGAATATACTGTATAATACTGACTGAAGTTCTAATTTTTGTAAAAACAAATCTCATGTTTGCTTGTTTTTTAACAAATATTAAAAGTGAAGAAGTCATTACATTTGGCAGCATATATCCACACTCATCATTAGTGATTCCAGTGATCAGAGGCACTTTATTAAACTGGTGGGATTGAAGAAGATCTGCTGCAGATTTTGGAAGGAACTGGCCATCCACTGTCACTCCAAAACGAAACTCTGGATGCCCCTGTTTTAAAAGACAACACGCCGTTTAGTGCATAGGTGGACTTTGCATAGATTCTGTGAGAAATTTCAGTATTTGGACAGACAGACCTTAGCAATAGTCAAGATGTCTTCTTCTGTCAGCTGCATCACACAGTCAACAATCGTCTTCGTGCTGGAAATATCACAGCCAGATACACTTCCTACAGCCTAGATAGAAACAAGTGATATTTAAATGAAATTGATTTCATTTTTATTACAGAAATTAGTAAATTAATTTGTTTAAAATTTGAACAGATGTAACTGACCTGAGCTAATACAAGAGGGTTGGGACTCATGAGACCATCCATTGCTGCAGTACCGCTCTCTGCGATAGCATGATGGAAGAGGTTTGCAGATAATGGTGATAGAACCTGTGAATGTTTTATTTATTTTTTTAATGTTTGGGTTCAATGACATAATACTCATTTTTTGACTGAAAAAAGTCTTATTGGAATATGGGGTGTGAAATTTCCTAAACATGCCAACCAATCAGAGCACATTTCACTTTTTTTTAAAGGAGGGGCTTCATAGAGGCAGGAACTGAACAGAGCGTTACTGACAGACTGGGAAGAGAGGTGCTGCAACTGTGTGAAATATGTAAGAAAATATGAAAACCTATTCTATTAGACCCCCAAAAGGGCATAATATGGCCTCTTTAAAAAATACCATAATACACAACATAACATTTTATAGTCAATAAATTAAAACTGAAAATTTCAAAGAAGCCAATAGAGTGCCGAAGTTACGACGTCACTCTGTAGGCCAAAACGCGGAAGTGAGTTAGCATTTTAGCACTCCCGGTTCCCTCGCTCTAAAGCCTATGGGATTTTTGAATGGGTTTTTGCTAAATCGCCTGAAATAAGGTCTGTGGTGAACAAAGCCTCTAAATATTTTCACGTTTTGATCTATGAAATCAGTTATAACCTGCTTGTGATTTTTTAAACTTTTTTGTGTTTTCTTTATATAGGCTTCAAAATGTATACATTTTGGATTAACACAGATTCTTATTTTTTGCGATTTTTTTCCAAAAGTCTATGGGGAAATTGCATTGCTTTTCGATCGAGGGAACCCATGCGCCGCTACCTTACGAGTTGTCCTACAAAGTGACGTCATCATTTCTGCACTATATTAAAGAATATATATTTATATATTACTTATAAATTCTTACATGTAAAGACACACTGACTCCTCCAGCAGACTCTCCAAAGATGGTCACTAATCCAGGGTCGCCCCCAAAGCTGTGGATGTTCTCCTGGACCCACTGAAGCGCAGCCACCTGGTCCAGAAGACCATAGTTTCCTGGCGCATGTTCATCTCCCGTGCTAAAGGGCAGAATATAATCATACAACTCCATCAGAGACCTTAAACCTCAATTGCACTGAATCATTTAAACTAATCAATCAGAGATTCTAAAGCATCATAATCACAAACTAGTAGGACTTTATAGACACTCAAACAGATTACATGCAAGTCTAAAGTCCAAAAACACATGGCCTGCTAAATGCAAACCAAACATAGACCTTAATAATGTTTGATGAGTCATCTTTTAATGTTACTCCAACACCTGGACCGGTAAACAAGAAAAAGTGTTTCAACATATTGGCAGTGATATTATTTAGAACTAGACAGTAAAGTTTGTTGATAAGCTTTGATGTATGCTTGAGAAAGCTTAGTCTGAATGTTTAAAAGGGTTTTAATAGTTTTAAAATCTTGAAGTTTGAAGGTTTAAATATTTTTAAAGATAATAAGATTAAAAGATTTCAAATCAGCAACAAAATCTGACATGAACTGTCCCATAAGTGCTCAACTAGCACTTAAAAAGCTTCTGTTTTTAATCATGTAGTTTAAGGTTAGCACATTTCAAGCATGTTTTAGATTTAGTTGAAAATATTTTGGATTTCATTAGATCTTTATGTTGGTAAGAATTAGTTTTTACCTAAAAAATCCAAGTAGGCCAAGCCTGTATTGAATCAGGACCACAACTACATCTTGATAGGCAGCCAAAACATGTCCTTCAGTCATGGACGCAGAGGCCACCGATAAACCTCCACCATGGATCCAAACCATAACCTTTTGCAACATTAAAATACTATTAAAATGCATAAAATACATATAATATTAAAATACATAAAGATCAACCAAATCATTCAAACTTACAGGCAACTTGTCATTAGCTCCAGGTTTAGAAGGTGTGTAGACGTTGAGGTAAAGACAGTCCTCTGCTGCATCAGGAACCTCCATCTTCATAGATAAATTGCGCATCAAGTCTTCAACTACCTGCTTATCCTGCAGACACCTGGGACAGACACAGAGGAACACAAGTGTGTCACCACTTGATCTCCAGGACCTGAAGCAAAGGCATTGATCTACAGGTGGATTAGCGTTGATTTATTCTCACATGAGCGGCTGTTTTGTAGCATCTCTCACTCCGAACCATTTCTCTGCAGGTTGGGGTGGAGCGAATCTCAATGAACCCACGGGTGGCTTGGCGAACGGTATGCCCAGGTACGAATGGACGACTGTGTCCTTTCCTTTTGCTTTCATGTGTGATCCTTTAAGGACCCCAGATTTGGTTTGCAAGACAGGTCCTGTGTAATTCATAAAAAAAAAAAAATTGTTGTGGGTATGGAGTGAGGTTAACCTACACTGAGTGGGGGCCCCAGGCAAAGAGGCCCTTTGAAAAAAAATAAATAAAAAATAAAAAGTTTTATATATAATATATAAGATTTTTTAATTGTTATTAAACCTTACCTAGGGATATAATTATACAAAAAGTAGTCAAAACACATCTAACAGAATTTTTTTATTAACAATGTCAATCTTCATCGTTATAAGAGAAAATGGGTCATTTTTCAGAAAACGTCCACTTCTGGTGCGGCAAGATGTCTTAAAATTAATTTCTTTTTCTTAAGGTGGTACTGTAATATTAAGGTGGTACTGTAACTTAAGATGGTACTGTAATATACCTATATAAAGCTTGAAATGTCCTCTTTTAAATGAACACATTCGAATCAAAAGCAAATACCATCTGATTATGTAATCTGTATGAAAGATGCATTTCTCTCTAGCGTTAAAGTGGAGATTTTTTTTTTTCTCCCACAGGTGACTTAGTGATACTAAAAAAATCTAAAAAAAAGTCCTGAAAATTTCAAAAGAAGACTTTGGATACTTTTTGGATTTTATTACAATTCACATGCTTAATTAAAATACAAGCCTTAATTTATGTTTTACATTTAATTACCATGATTAAAATACTAGTCTACTGGCCTATAATTTGCTCATCTTTTCAAATTTATGTTGATTTTATATTTATGTTATTTTACCTACTTCATCTGAAACTATTTTATACATTTTACACTAATTATTTTATATTGATTGACATTTACTATTCCTGCTAAACTTCATCTAAAATAATTTATAGTATTTTTTACTAATTATTTTATATTATTTATTTTATTTTAATTTGCATATGCTATACTTGCTATACTTCTTCTGAAACTACTTTATTTTAATTTTATGCATGTGCTAAACTATTTCATACATCTGTAGCCTATACTGTTGTCATTGTTCATTTATATTTATTTAATTTATATATCCTGTACTCCATCTGAAACTATGCATCATACACACATTATAAAGTGTTATATTAAAGGAGAAGTTCACTTTAAAAAAAAAAACTTTTGCTGATAATTTACTCACCCCCTTGTCATCCAAGATGTCCATGTCATTCTTTCTTCAGTCAAAAAGAAATTAAGGTTTTTGATGAAAACATTCCTGGATTTTCTCCATAAAATGGACTTCAATGGGAATCAAACGGTCCCTTATTCATCGTCTGGTGTTGTTTAAAGCCCTTTGAAGCTGCACTGAAACTCTCATTTGGACCCTGAACCATTTGGTTCCCATTGAAGTCCATTATATGAAGAAAATCCTGGAATGTTTTCATCAAAAACCTTAATTTCTTTTCGACTGAAGACAGAAAGACATGGAGATCTTGGATGAAATAAGGGTGAGTAAATTATCAGCAAAAGTTTTTTTTTTTTTTTTTTAAGCGAACTACTCCTTTAAAGCAAACCCCGATCGACACACCTACTTCTGTGAATGCGCTTTCGACAGAATATCCCGTTTAGTAAACCCATTTAACCCATGTAAATGTCGTTTTTTTTATCCTTGCATGAAAGAGTTAGCGTACTGTGCAAGTAAACGCACTCATGGCACATTAATCTGACTTACCATCCTCTGCTTTCACAGTGTTTTGAAGAGTCAGTGCGATCAGCACGAGTGAGAGCAGCATAACACACTCCCTCATCGCCATTCCGTTAACAGTCAGTCCCAATGCAGAATGAGTTCACAAGCTCTGCACGAATACACTACTGCGTGATTTGGCAAACTTTGAACTTTGTTTTATGAACAGTGGTTGCCAGATTCTTACTAATATAAAAACAACTATTTTAAATTGAGTTGGTGGTAGTCTTTTTATCAAAGGGTTGTTTATGGATTAAAAATGATTTAATGGAATAAAGAAGAAATAAGAATGGCAAAAGCAGTTCTAGGTCTAATCATAGCTGTGACAAATGCACATTCACTTTTGTTTGTATATATAATATGTAAAAAATATAAAGACTGAATGTCTGCGCGTTGTTTAAATAGCAAATGCATTTGCACCCATTTGTGCTCTGAGGTCTGAAAACGAGATGTGTTCAGGCGCAATGTTTTGACGCATAGCTATTTTAATTGCAATGGCACATGCATAAATGTTAATGTGAACGGATAAATAATTTCTAACAAATATTACAACAAAGTTAAACATTACATTAAAAGCTAAAAATGGTCACACAAAAGCGATAAGTGGTGCGTTTTCTTTCAATCTGGCAACACGTTGACATTTATGAAATAGTGGCTGTAATTCATGATCGATTCCCTTTACCCCAGTGCCTATTCATACTGACGAAATGATAAGGGTTTTGTGAACGAGACAATGACCTTACATGGACCTATAAGTAACTTACAGATGAAAAATATGGATATATATATGTATTTCAACCTAGAAACAGAACGATCCGTTATAATGTGCTATAATGTGCGTAGCAAGCTTCATTCGCCGCGCGCGGTTCAAGTAACGCTAGGCTACGTTAAACGAATCACAGCTTTTGATGTTTTGAAACTTTGCAAAGTCATAATACAATAAATTCCACTCAGAATTCTGTTTTTAGAGGGTATGCGTCGGGCCAGTGGCGCAATGGATAACGCGTCTGACTACGGATCAGAAGATTCCAGGTTCGACTCCTGGCTGGCTCGGTTCTTTTGAACTGATTCTCGAGTTCGTTTAAACCGCGTTTGAACCTGAACACGACATTGCAGCAGTGTGTACAGGACGCACCTACAGTATGTGAAGGTGCATATTAATCTGGGTCGCAGTTTGTCATGAAAACAATTTTTACAACTCGACTGAAATTATTCCTTTGTTTGAATACGTTTCGTCGAATTCGCCACTGTTTTGTCTATCTTCAAGAAAATAAAACCCGTCAAAGCTTTTACGTTTAAAAAAAGAGACAGAATTATGATTATGATTTAACAGCCAGTACCAAGAGTAAAATTTACAGTTATCCCTTGTGCGTTATTAAGGGCATATTTGTCTTTTGGCAGTTGACATAATTGTGTGGATGTCAGAGTGTGTAGGAGTTTGTAGGTGTATCGTGTGTGTCCTCAAAAAACTTGTGTGTGAGCGTGTATTATTAGGCAAAGAAAAATTCTACTTTACTGTAAATCACAAATCCAACCACTCTATATGTCAGTGGAGCTTCTTTAAAATGTCCAAGTCCTGCTCCCAAGCTTCACATTTTTATGACAGTTTTTAAACAGACTTTTTTGACCTCAGAGTAACTTTTTTCATTCGACGCACAAGATTTAATTAGTTTTCTTTACTGGACCAGCTTCAGATAATTATTCGAAAATATTCACAGTTTGTTCACCCAGCATTTTTAAAACGTTGAGTGGGAAAAATGGAAAGTCTCTCTCGTGTTGTTCAAGACAGTGAACCGCACTGCCCTCTCGCGGCATGTCCTTGCTACTATATAATTATTTACCCGAACTAATACAAAGGAAATATTTTGTGTTTTACATGAGGTTTCCCAAGTTACTATGTTATAATCACGTTATTCATGGTCCAATGGTGAATCTCATTACGGCAGGGGTGATATTCTATGAAACAGAGGCATTTAACAGATATTATTTTGATTTTAATCTATGAGGAGGGGATGCCGCCAGAGGGCAGTAGACTTCCACGCTTAAATGGCATAATTGGCTTAGGTTAAAAACATTGGTTTAAGGTCACTTTTTACCTCTTTCTTCAGTGTAGCAGTGTCAGGTTAGCAAATGATTCAAGTAGGCCTATATGCTTTTTTATCGAAGATAACTAACACGAAGCGAAACGGATTCAGTCAATGAATCACCACATCAGCTGCAAAGACTTAATTTTATATGAAAATAAATGAATGTGCCTTTTCAAGTACATATTAATGCAAACATCTTAGCCATGCTCGATTAGCACCGTCGCAATGCAGGTTCGAGAATTGAAGTTCAAAAGAACCGAAGTTCTAACCGAAGAACCGAAAATGCTAACTCACTTCCGCCTTTTGGCCTACAAAGTCACGTCGTAACTTCGCCACTCGTTTGCAACTATTCATGGCGATACTCCGAAAAAGGTCTATTTATTGACCATTTACCAATGATTTGATGCATCGTTTATATTTATAATTAATATCTGTATTAAATATTGACGTATTGGCTTAAAAACATTAAATCGTTTGAATCGCGCCCATTTATTTACCTGCGCAGTGGAATATACAGTCAATTGAATCGGTTCAAAATAAATTCAAAAGAACCGAGCCAGCCAGGAGTCGAACCTAGAATCTTCTGATCCGTAGTCAGACGCGTTATCCATTGCGCCACTGGCCCGATACATCACCGTTAAAAGACACTCACAATCAAAAGTCTTATTTCACATATAAATGAAATAAATTCACATGTATAACCTGTAAAAAACAATGTATGCACTTATGCAGCTTACTTAACGGAATCAAATGTCGTTTGCAATCATTTAAATAAATATTACCGACATAACGTGCATTGCTAAAAGTAGTTTTAAATTAAACCGGTAATTTCTGTTAGAATATCAATTATAGACCAGTATCGATTTGATAAAACACGTTTAAGACTATTAATATCAAAACAATTAGGTAATGTAGGCGTCCAGTGTCAACTTTAGTCTCCACATGTTCAGAGAGCCACATGGACTGAGGATTTCTGCTCAATAATCATGGCAACATCGATACACGAGACAGTTCTCATAGGAATATGTGATGGAGCTATTGGCAAGAAGAAAAACACATCTTATTGCACGAACAAAATCGGAGATAGACCGGTAAAGGAAACGTACTTAGTACATATACTCGGGGATTGTGTCATGCTAACTAGGCTAAATACACTGCTTGACAGCTAACGTTACTTGGTTATCTTGTAGTTGATAAAATTCCTCATGTAGACAGTCAATATCTGTAAGATCTAAGCGAAATTAAAGCAGGTTTCTTTATTTGCTGAAGTAAACATTAAACACTTAGCTTTATAAAAGTGCTTAAAAGTAGACAATTGCTAACTAGCCAGTTAACGTTAACAGCTAACTAAACATACCAAGTCGCATATTCAAGATTTATCTCGGTTACATCAAATTACTTTAATTGAGGTATTAGATGTTTGTTTTGACATTTCTCATACAGCTGTTGTTAAATGAGTTAAATAGTGTTTTTGAATCAGATCTCTGGCAAGAGTTATACTGAGAGTTCCCGTATGTTCGAACGGTACACGCATCGGGCCAGTGGCGCAATGGATAACGCGTCTGACTACGGATCAGAAGATTCTAGGTTCGACTCCTGGCTGGCTCGGATCTTTTGAATTCATTTTGAACCGATTCAATTGACTGTATATTCCACTGCGCAGGTGAATAAAATGGGCGCGATTCAAACGATTTAATGTGTTTAAGCCAATACGTCAAAATTTAATACAGCTATTAATTATAAATATAAACGATGCATCAAATCATTGGTAAATGGTCAATAAATAGACCTTTTTCGGAGTATCGCCATGAATAGTTGCAAACGAATAGAGTGCCGAAGTTACGATGTGACTTTGTAGGCCAAAACGCGGAAGTGAGTTAGCATTTTAGCACTCCCGGTTCCCTCGCTCTAAAGTTTTTTGGGATTTTTGAATGGGTTTTTGCTAAATCCCCTGAAATAGGGTCTGTGGTGAACAAAGCCTCTAAATATTTTCACGTTTTGATCTATTATATAAAACACAGTTATAACCTGCTTGTGTTTTTTTATTGTTTGTTTGTGTTTTTTAAAACTATATAGGCTTCAAAATGTATAAATTTAGGATTTTTTTGTATAAATTTGTATAAATTTATGTATACATTTTTCAAAAGTGTGTGTGTGTGTATTGACTTGCATGGATGAATTTTTCACCACAAAACGATCAATTTAGGCAAACAAAGTAACTATGGTCAATTTTGAATTCATTGGGACTTTAACTTAGTGCTTTTATAAAATACAGAAAACAATCAGGATTCTGCTTTCTGCTGTCCCGTTTTCCTTTCCGTGAATTTTGTGGAGCTTGTCACAAAAATGAATTGAAACTATACAGAAATATACAAGAAATACAATAAACACACACATTGTATTAATTGAATTTTCATTTTAACAGGACCTGCTTCCAATAATCACTCTCCAGTATCCCATATGCAGTCTGTGTCAGAGAGGCCTGTCTCATGTTGTGCAAGTCTACTGCCCCCTCGCGGCGTCTCCGTACCACAGAACCATCAATGTATTTGCCTGCACCAATCCACAGTGCTCTGGCAAATCAGAAAGGTAACATCTTGTCAATTTAAATTAGGCCATTATTTTCATATCAGAGATGTATTTCTTTAACCATTCTTTGAAACGTTTTATTTTCTGGCATTCTGACCATGTCGCCTCTCTATATACCTAGTTGGATTGTTCTGCGCTCTCAGTGCCTGGATGACGACATCAAAGGCAGCAAAAGCCCGGCATGTACAGAACCTGCAATGTCCAGAACAGACTGGTGTGTTGAAGCAGATGATTGGGGCATGGACGAAGAAGAGCAAGAGACTGTGGCTGAAAGCGGCGTACAAGTGCCAAAGGACAGTGTTGGAAATGATGTCAGCAGCAAGCTTCAAGCCCTGTGCATTGATGGAGGTGTGGATCAGCAAAGTGCCCTCCAACCCACACATGTGCACGTTTTCCAGTCGTTCTACATAAGTGTTATGGATGAAACAGACTTGGATGGATTTCATGATACGGATCACGAAAACGAACTGCTTAGAGAGTATGAGGAAAGGGAAGGAGTGATTGTCGGGGAGATTCGAAGGTGAGGAGGATTGATTCTACAACTCATTACAATATTGAGTATATACAATATTGAAAACACATAATTCATTACAATATTGCATTACTCCCTGAAAAAGTAACTAATTGCGATACTTAGTTACTTTTTATGGAAAGTAGTGTTACATTACTTTGAAAAAGTAACTATTTGCGATACTTGGTTACTTTTTATGGAAAGTGGTGTTACGTTACTTTGAAAAAGTAAGTAATTGCAATACTTATTTACTTTTTATGGAAAGTAATGTTACGTTACTTTGAAAAAGTAACTAATTGCAATACTTAGTTACTTTTTATGGAAAGTAATGTTACGTTACTTTGGAAAAAGTAACTTTTTGCGATACTTAGTTACTTTTTATGGAAAGTAATGTTACGTTACTTTGAAAAAGTAACTAATTGCGATACTTAGTTACTTTTTATGGAAAGTAGTGTTACGTTACTTTGAAAAAGTAACTAATTGCGATACTTAGTTACTTTTTATGGAAAGTAGTGTTACGTTACTTTGAAAAAGTAACTAATTGCGATACTTAGTTACTTTTTATGGAAAGTAATGTTATGTTACTTTGAAAAAGTAACTAATTGCGATAATTAGTTACTTTTTATACTTTTTCTCACCTTGCTGAGGCTCGCTCTCTTCTTTTTTGCAAGTGTTTAACTTTAAAAAGTTATTCAAATGTTAATGTGTAAATGTATAAAGTAATGCATTACTTTACTCGTTACATCAAAAGTAATCTGATTATGCATGTTACTTGTAATGCCACAACACTGTTTTTTCAGTGAATTTCTGACATAAAATCTGAACAAAAGTGTGATGTATGTTGCACTACATGACTAAATGTATGTGAACATCTCCTCAAATTGTATATTAATCATGTAACAACTAATTTTCTATACTTTTTTTAGTTGTGGAAGTGGGGAAGCTCAGGAGGAATATGAGAAAGCCACAGTGAAGCATGGAGATGAAGTGTTCAACGGTTTCATGAAGAAAATATCTCTTTGTCCTGAACAAGTGTTACGGTGATTGAATATATTAATATTGATATTCAGTTAAAAAAAAAAACGCCCCAAACTGTGACTAAAATGGTTGCAAATAGGGCAAAAAAATTACAAATGTGCTACAATAATTTAAAATTCCCCTTCATGAAAGCTTTGTCTGTCCATAAGTGTTTCTTAATTTTTTAATCTGGAGCCCTGGAGCATTGCAAGGGGCCATTTATACAAATGTTTGTTAAAGTTTCAGTCATTTGGTTTTCTTTCTTTTTTTCTTAAAAAAAAATAGTTTTTCAAAATTTTATTTCAGTTTTAGTTATTTTAGTACTTCAACTTAAAATAAACAAAACTGTTACATTGTTGCCTCGGGTTGTGGGTTAAAGTCCCCAACCCCTGGGACCCCCAGTAACAAGATTGGGCTAGTTTTGGTCTTGATTGGGTGAGTTTTGAATATCAGCTGGTTTTGTTATACAAACCTGCAAACCTACGAGACATTTGTGTTCAGTGGTCAAAAACGTCCATGTAGCGCATGTTTACATAGAGAAACAAATAGAAAACTCAGTGGAACGGAAAAACTGCATCCAGTATTTTCTGCATAACAAAATGTGATAATTCATTGTATTATACACCCAATATTCTTATTATTTACTTATTTACTATAGGATTTAATCAAGTGTGTTACATCCCACCTTATAGGTACAGTTGGGCCGGATCACCTCTATTTATAACAGAGCCACCTATCAACGTTAATGAGATGGTGCCGTTCTGTGTACACTGCGGCAGTCCGAGGGTTTTCGAATTTCAGCTCATGCCTGCGTTGGTCAGTTTGCTCAGTAGTGCAGGCAAAATTTCAGGTAAGTCAAATGTTTTTAAAATATATTTAAAAAATACAGCCCGGTCTCATCCCCAAGGCGTCATATAGGCACCCTTTAACGTCAATATAAGACGCAGATATATATGGGCCAGAAGGCACCTCCTAGTGGTCTAACCCTAACACTACCCCAGACCTAAACCTACCCATAACCGAAGCGTGTTATATTGATGCTAAAGGGTGCCATGTGTAGGGTTGGGTATCGTTTGAATTTGAATGATTCTGATTCCGATTCCTTGTTTCGATTCTGGTTCCTAACGATTCTCGATTTCGATTCTTTTTAGAGGCAGGGTCAAAAAAGTTTAGCTAACCTTGCTAACCAACGGCCTTTCTGAAGGAAATACTCCTTCTGTAAAAATAATAAAAAATAACTCACTTCCGCGTTTTGGCCTACAGAGTGACGTCGTAACTTCGGCACTCTATAGGAATGATCCAAGACTGATCAACCTTTCAAGGCTGTATTATACGATAATGAATGGCTTACTGTACATTACATCTTGTTGTTTGTTAGTGTATGTAAGATGTGATTTGTTTTTTGTCTTCTCAGACACTCCATTGGAGTTCGGGACAGTTCTGGTGTACACTTGCAGAAATAGTTGTTGGAAATCTGGATCAACAGTTCCAGTGGAAGAATTTCTTTATGTCCAGCCCGATCCTGACCAAAAGCTCTTTAAATGATATCATTCATCACCATTAAAGATCATTTATTAATAGATCTGCATTGTGGTTTATTATTTAAGATATACAGTAGTGGCTGTAAGTGTTCAAAGTTGCTGTAAAAGTGTTTTGCCCATGTAATTGTGTTTTATGGTAGGGTAAAAATGTTTTCCAAAATGCAAAAACAAGAGAAAACCACCTACATTTTAATTGACAATGGTGCAATGTTTTTTTTTTTCTGTAAATGTGCAAAAAGTCATGGCACATGTTGATAATGTCGTTTTTACATAAATTACATAAATACAAAATATATATAATTTGGACACAAATGCTTATGAAGAGGCAGAAAACCTTTAGATGTGATGTGAGCAAAAAGAAAAAAAAAGAAATCATGAACTTGAAAATGAAAATGCTGTGTTGGTTCGTCCTGTAACGGCTGCAGTACCGAACGCGGCCGGATTATGTGCGCATGCGCAGTGAGAACAGCGAGCGCCGCTCAATGCTCGGGTTTTTCTCTCGCGAGGAAGGACGCCATTATCGGAATCTTCACAAACAACACGAGAATTCATCATTCACACGGTAATATAAACCATTCTGACACGCGACACGTCCAGCTCTCCGCGCGCGTCCAAAATATGGCGCTGTGCATTAAAGAAATAACCATTTTCCTGCTATTTTCCTGTCAACTGTGTCTCGCGTGCTATGAAGAGCACAAATGAGGCCTAGATGCGTTTCGCTGCTGTTGTTTTGAGCTGTTCGTTAGCTAGCCGAGGCTACATGAGCAGGCTAGCTGCAGTGTGCTAACTGGATTAAAGCAATGGCCCTACTATTAAACTGCTCAGCGATTTGCATCTTTAAAAGGACTGTTTTTTTTAAATCCCGGAGCGTCCTTGTTTTTGTTTGTCCCCACACTCAGTGCTTAACTAGAGTTGAACTAAATTAACCTAGTTATAATCTCATCCTAGTTATAATCTCAGCAGTAGTTTCATATCGAGAATCATGCATGTGCATCGTAAAGGTAGCACGATATGGATTTGCCTTTATGCTTTGGTTTATATATATATCAAGTAACTTAAATGCTAATCCATGACTATAAAAAAGTACAATGGCATTAACGTTACATTATATTTTGGACATATGAATACCCTGGGGCATGAATTTCAGTTAAAGTACTACTATAATCATACTAAGATAACAACACGACTGTACAATTACTACAGTACTTTTTTACTACAGCAATGGCTTTTCAGAATAGTTATTAACTTTATTATGTTTTGCTCAAAATTGCCTATTTTATCACCTTAAAATTGGAGTAATAGTGATTCATAGTGAATAGAAATTCACCCTGAACTATTTAAAAATGAAAATCATAGATGCTTCTAATAGGAAAAGATCTGAAAGAGAATGTGTACCAGGCACCCATTTATCATATTTGATTATTGTTGTTGTTGTTATAGAACAATTAATATTATTAAAATGTGTATTAAGTATTTATTATTATTAAGTATATATTATTCAATAAGTATTTATTATTAAATATTTACGGTATTTATTATTAAATATTTACAATATGTATTATTAAATATTTAATATCAATAATAAATAAATATAAATAATGCCCCCTCAGGGGTTCTCAGCTGTCAGTTATTTTATTTTGCAAGAACACAATGGTGCCTGCAAAAATCCAATATTTTATCTTGTGGTGACTTGAATATAAAATTATATTAAAAACACTGTCTTTGAAAATGCAGTTTCTTTAAAAATGTATATTCCCTCCCAAATTAATAACGAATTAGCAAATTGCCCAGTTGATATCAGTGTTATTTTCGTATATCGAGATCATTTAAAAAGCTTTTTTTTATTTTAATTTTAGATCAAGTTTTAGTAATTTTTTGTGTGTTTTTATCATTTCTGTCAGTTTAAAAATATCTTCATAGTTTTTATTCATGTTTATTTTAGTTTTATGTTAAGTTGTTTTAATACATCAATTTAAACGTTAGAAAAAAAGAAATGTTGATTGGGAAACTATCTGAAAAAAAGGTTTTATATATTTGAGTATACACAGTATATATCAATCAATGATTATTTTATTTCAGCTAACTTTTTTCGAAAACGAATGTAACACAAGCCACCCTAAGTTTGCCAATGACATGTTTCTGAAATGCAGGTTTGAATGATGTCAGAGCAGGATTTGGTGGAAATAGTCCAGATCGCAGTGGCGGATTTGAATCACGAAGGACACCAAACAGGTCGGTCCCCCTCGAAATCAAAGAAACATCTGCGTAATGGGTCATGCTGGTAGGGATGCATGATATATCACCCACAATATCAATATCTGCCGATACATGTACGTTTTTAATGTTATCGTTATCGGCCCGATAAGAAATTTTGGCTCATATCTTAAAGCTGATAAACAATGTATCATTTCCAGTCTCAGCTGAGACTCTTCAGATGCACCATGATGGTTTTGATTTGCTTGAAATATGATTGGAATCACTTCAAAAAAAGGAAAATGCAGTTAAGTGCGGCATGTGCAGCGCAAGTATAAACTACATCAAATTAAAATGAGAACATTATAATTGTGTGCTTAGTACATGTCTTTTAATGGTGAGACTTGTTTTTTTTATAATCAGGCGCTCAAAAGTCATATCAAATTTGGATTTAGATTTATCGGTTATGATAACCGATATCTGAATCCCTAGTTTGTGATTTTCTGCTGTGACGAAACTAGATATCCTGGAGAATAATGAAGACGCTGATCAACCAGGAAGGAAACGAGCCAGGCTTGACATTAGTCAAGAAACAACTATTAAGGTAGCATCTTAACATTGTCAATAGAAATGATCAATTCATTTGGGACAGAATATAAACCGCTTATATAAGCATGGACTTTAGCAAAAATGTTGTGTTTTTTCCTGTATTTGTGTATGGGTCCGCTCCCAGTCGATGCTGATATCCATCAGTCAGGCCATCTGCCAGCGGCTGGACAGTATGGAGGCGAAGCTGCAGGTTCTCGAGGCCACCTGTCGAGGTTTAGTGGAGAAGCTGGACATAGTGATGGGGAAAAACCAGTTAAACATCCAGGTACCCATGGTGTCAGGGTCCCCGTTTGGAGCCACTCAGACTTGCGACAAAGTACGCTGGTAAGTGGACCGTAGAGGATGCTGGGGTGTTTTATACAAGAGCACCTGGATTGTTTTTTTTTTTCCATTTATTGAATATGTTTGGCCTTTCATTCGGCTGGTTAATTCAAACCTTTTCACGTAGAGCAACATCTTGAGACTGATTTTTATAAACTTATGAAAACAGTTAGTGGTGAAATGTTATAGAAAAAGCTGGAAATCAAGGACAGTTGCTCTTTATTTGGGATTATATGATGATCTGCGTGACTGAAAGCCTTCAAATACACTTGTTAGTTAAAATTCACAAATTATCATCAGATTTTCTTAGGGATGCACCGAATATTCGGCCGCCGAAAATTTTCGGCCGAAAATGGCCCAAAAGTGCATTTTCGGTTTTCGGCCGAAAGACTTTTATCACCGAAACAATACGGCCGAAATGTTGTGATGACGCAAACAGAAACCGCGACCTGCACGTGCTTGTCTGAAGCAACATGTCTGCGGTGTGGACGTATTTCAGTGTACCCGCCATGAGACGGAAACCTTGTTTATCCACCTATAAACAATGCGTGCCGCCATGACGACCACTCCGGTTCCGAGCGAGTCAAGAGCGGTGCGCGCGCTGTCTGTGGAGACACGCGCTGCGGAGGCAGGCGAAAGTAAACAAGGCAGCGCGAGTCTCCACAGACAGCGCGCGCACCGCTCTTGACCCGCTCGGAACCGGAGTCGTCGTCATGGCGGCACGCATTGTTTAGAGCAGGAAGGCGAAAGTAAACAAGGCAGCGGCGAGTCTCCACAAACAGCGCGTGCACCGCTCCAAACGGTCGAGGCGTTTATACTTGACGCGCTCTCCGTTGTACTATTCCTTGAAACGACAGGGGACGACTCAAGTAAAGTAACTGTCCTCTAACCATCAGGAATCGGCGAGAAGAAGACCGATAAATACATGACAATGTTTATTTTTTAGTATTCCACCACCAATACAAAAATAATCATGTAAAACCCAGTAAACCCTGAGATTATTACTTGTGACATTACAAAAAAAAATGTATATGGGAACATGTATGTATAGAACTAAATTAATGCTCTCTTAAATATTTTCTACATTCACTAAACATGTTTCATTAAGTTTCATCATTTGTATTAAACATGGACCATTGTTCATTTAAAAAGGCTTTTTATGCTATTGTATGCTACATTTTTAAAAATGTAACTAATTTAGACCTGCAAACTGGGTGCTAATGTGATGAGAAGTTTGCGGTTGGCTTTGTTTTTGAGAGAACATTTCATTTTAAAACCTTTCTGCAGGGCAGTAGATTATTATTTAGTGTACACATAAGTGGGGTCAAGTTAAACATTTTAGTTTGAATTTTATTTTGTACTGTGCATTGTGCTAAATATATATTTGCATAATTTGTAATTGATTTATTCTTTGAAAATGTTATATTAATTTATGCAATTGCAATGCCTTGATTTTAGTAAAGTTTGTACACAGTCATAGCCATAAATGCAATGATACTAATAATTGGCATAATTTCTTTCGGTGTTTCGGTTTTCGGTTTTCGGCCTTGGTTTCCTCTTTTTCGGTTTTCGGTTTCGGCCAAGAATTTTCATTTCGGTGCATCCCTATGATTTTCTTCATACTTTGCAAAAATGAGAATGAGATATCACGCTGAATTAAACTACAAAAATATGAATGTATAAATATTTATTAATATGAATATGTACTCCATATACCAAAAAATGTGTTCATAATTAAGTGGAAATTTTATTTTACAAAATTTTATACATTTGATTTTACCATTTTAATTACATGTTAATATTACATATAATTATTAGCTACTTTTTTGTGATGGCTTAAAATAAACACTTACATGAAAACTTTCCTTGAAAATTGACTGATGTGTTATAACATTTTGTATCCCCCAAATAAACAGTA